TTTCATATAATGATGGCTTGGTGAGGATGAATTCCTTGAACTTGACCTTATCTGAGAAACACTTTATCTGCCTTTCCATTCTAAATGAAAGCTTTTCTGGATAGAGCAATCTTGGATGTAGGTCTTTGGATTTCATGACTTGGAATACTTCTTTCCAGCCCCTTCTTGCCTGTAAGGTGTCTTTTGAGAAATCAGCTGACAGTCTGATGGGCACTCTTTTGTAGGTAACTGTCTCCTTATCTCTTGTTGCTTCTAGGATTCTCTCCTTCACTTTAATCTTGGAGATCATTCATTTGAACTAAGTGCTTAGACCTGGAATTCTAAGGTGACTTAACTGAAAGTTGTGGCAGTGCTGGGGCTATCTCTTGTTTTTTCTGGCTACTACCCTACTGCTTTTTTTAATGTTCAGATGCTATAGTTGTGATTTCTGGAACTGTTTAATCTTTTATTAGATATGTAAAAGCTGAAACAAAAAATAAAATAGTAATTATAATTATATGTTTTTATAGTCTCAAAGTGAATGAGTTAAAAAATATTTGATAAGTCAGTTACTTGGAATTAATTTTTTCTTCCACATAGAAACAGGTATTTTAAACATGGACATGATATTTCTACCTGAGTCAGTAGTTTTGGAAGAGTGTTCTCTTTTTCTGTCTGTTTTGGAGCCAACTGTGAGCTGCAGGAACTGCAAAGATCTTTTGGAACTTTGAGATTCCCACTCCATATCTTTGCTGGATAGTCCACTTCAAATGGCAGCTGATTTAATCTTTCATAGAGTTCCATGCCTCACCACCAAAATTCTGAAGTAGTGACTTCAGAGAAGTTTTTATGGTGATGGTTTTGGCGTGCCCCAGTGGCTGAGATACCAAAGGAATTCATGAAATTGTTTGGTTGTTTCTTTATTAACTAGGATGAAATAATGGCAGTGATTCTTTAGACCAGCTTTGTCCAGTAGAAATAGTCTGTACTTACACTGTCCAGTACAGTAGTAACCAGCCATGTGTATGGCTTTGAGCATTTGAAATGTGGTTAGTGAAACTGAATTTAAAATTTTATTAAATTTAAACTTAAGTAGTCACGTATGGCTAGTGATGATTATATTACATACTGGAGCTTTAGGCTGAAATTATGGTTCTAATTGCATAAGAGGATTTCCAACCATTTAGGGTGTATGTGAGTGTATCGGTTTTGGTCTCTAAGTAGCTGCTGTGGTCCTAAAGCTGTTGATGTTGGTTATCTTAAAAGTTATCTCTATAGTCATAGGCAGCAATATCTTGTTTTGTATGGATAGGTCTTTATTAGTTGAATATTTGTAAATTGGGTATTAATTTTAGAGTTTTGCTAAATAGCATTTATATGATAATTTAACAAAAAGATTATGATGAGTCTCATAGGTTGTGTAATTGCGTCTCTTAAAAAATATTCTGTATTCTTGGTATTAGTAGGTCCTTTTAAAATTCTTATTTTAAATAAAGCAATTCAAATATGTTTTTAAATGATTATTCTAACAGCATTTGTTTTTCAAGCCCAAAGAATTATAGACATACTAGACTGTAAATTTCTGAAGCCCAAGTCTGTGACATTAATCTTGGTTTTTTTCCTAGAACTTAGCACATTACCTTGCATACAGATGGCAATGAGTAGATATTTTTATTGAATTAATCTATGATAAAATATATCTAATTAGTTTTCTTTTTAAATATATTAATAAAAACCAGAGAAATATGAACTAAAATTTATTTAAAATTGTGTTCTTATGGAAATAATTTCATTTATATCTTAAGAATAGGTAACAGTAAAAGATTGGTATTACTTAGCATTTGAAAATTCAGACTTAAACAATACATTATGGAGGTGCTTCCTCATTTTTACAAAAGGATGTATTTAAAAATTTATAGTTTAATAATCCAGACCTTATTTAAGTAGTAATTGCTTTAATAGATTCACCATTTTACTTACTAAATTTGGGTTCATTCAGGAATGAACCAGTTATGTAAATGAGTTATATGTATATGTCAAACATAGTCAAATTTTAAAATGAGCTTTTTATGGGAAAAGAAGATGAAATATGTGTGCATTAAATGTAATAAAAAATTCTTATATTAGGTATTTATATTTTATAGGAAGGAAAATTAAGATATAATTTGTTGCATTGTCTGAAGTCACTTGGTGAGTTTGGAGATCAAAATTAAATCCAAGAATTTCTGAATCCCAAGTTTCGTATTTCAGTATTTGGCATTACATAGAATGACTCATAAAATTGGCTGATATTATGTGTCATTACTTAGATGACAATTTACAGAAAGTCAGCTCTGCATCTTGATGGGCAGCAACCCTTTTCAGCCAAAAAGTACTTGTTGCTGTCACAACTGATACTATTATATATGGCTTATATATTGGTAACTTTGCTTCAGGAGAAAGGATGAGAGGTAGGCACGTTTCCTTAAATACTCTTAGATTGTTAAAGTAACATGCTCACATAAAAACAAATAATGGAAACTAAAAAGTGAGTAAAGTAGAAATGAAGTGTTTTCTCTCTATGCTCAGTGATAACTATTATCAGTTTGGTATACATAATCACATATGCATAGACAAAAAATAATTCTTAGAAAATCATAAAGCTATTATATGTCTTTAATTTTTTTCCAAAAATATATCTTGATATACAGTACTCACCCCATATTTGTAGTTTCATTTTCTGTGGTTTCAGTTACCTGCAGGTAACTGCAGCCAAAATATTAAATAGGAAATTTCAGAAATAAACAATTATTAAATCTTAAGTACCTTTTTGAATAGCATGATAGAATCATACCTTTCAGCTCCATCTTACGCTTGGAGAATCATTCCTTTGTTCATTGTATCTGTGCTACGTAGTGCTACTTGTCTTGTTAGTCGCTTAAGTAGCTGTCTCAGTTATCAGATCAACTGTTGAGGTATTTTAGTGCTTTTAAGTTCAAGTAACCCTTACAAAGTACCCTAATACTGTCACAATGCCCACATCATTCACTTCACTAATCTCATCACGTACGCATTGTTTTATTTCACTTCACAAGAGGGGTAAATATATTACATGATATTTTGAGAAAGAACGTCCACATTCACATAAACTATTATAGTATATTGTTATCATTGTTCTATTTTATCAGTTATTGTGACTAATCACTTACTGTGCCTAATTTATAAATTAAACTTTATCATATATGTATAGGAAAAAACATAGTATAAATAGGGTTTGGTACTTTCCTCAGTTTCAGGCATACACTGGGAATTATACAAAGGTAAGGGCATTGTATTGACAGTGGCATTCCCCTGTTAAAAAGAATGAAGAAATTCATCCATTGTCTTCTGTTATTAATTTGCTAGGGCTGCCATAACAAAGTACCATAGACTGGACAGTTTAAACAATAGAAATGTATTTTCTCACAATTCTGGAGGCTAGAAGATCAAGGTGCTGCTAAGGTTGGTTCTTTCGAGGGCCATGAGGAAAGGGTCTGTTTCAGGCCTCTCTCCTTGGCTTATAGATGGCCATCTGCTTCCTGTGTTTTCAGATAGTCTTACCTTTGTTCTGTATCTGTGTCTTGATCTTTTCTTTTTTTATAATCCTCACCCTAGGATATGTTTGTTTATTTTAGAGAAAGAGGAAAGGGGGTTGGGGCTGGGGGAGAGAGAAAGAAACATTGATGTTGAAAGCAACATGGATTGGTTGCTTTCTGTATGTACCTACCCTGACTAGGGATTGAACCCACAACTTTTTGGTGCACAGGATGTTGCTCCAACCAACTGAAACACCTAGCTAGGGCCTGATCTCTTTTTTGAAGGACACCAGTCATACTGGATTAGCTCTCACCCTAGTAACCTAATTTTAACTTAATTGCCTCTTTGAAGACTGATTCCAAATATAGTCACATTTGAGGTACTGGCATTGAGGACTTTGATACATAAATTTTGGAGAAATACAATTCAGCTCATAACATATAGTAATTGGAAGTAAATGATACTTTTATATCAGTATACTAGTATTTACCCTATTTTTTTCAAATTAGGTATTGCCTGACTTTGCCTCATTTCCTAGTCCATAGATCATTATATACTGTGTACATACTGCCTATCTAAAGTGTAGAGGGAAATATACTCTCAAGGAGCTCAGTTTGGACTTTGACATATAATTTTAATCATTTAATTTGAAAAACTTTATATAACTAGTAATATAGTATAGTTTAGAAAAGCAAGAGATCAGTTCATTATGTTAGTGACATTTGGGAAAATGAGAGTGCCTTGTTTTTTGACAGGTGGCCTACTAAACATTTAAATAATGTTAGGTCAAGAAATGATTTGTGACATAGTTTCGTAAAAGGGAAATTACCCTGAAAGGAATAAGCCTCATTTTGTTCCCTTATTTTCATATAGGGGCATCTCTGGGCCACATTGGGAGAAGAGTTGTCTTAGGCCACACATTAAATACGACATGTAATCACAAAAAAAATCTCATAATGTTTTAAGTAAATATTGTGTTGGGCTGAATTCACAGCCATCCTGGGCTGCATGTGGCACACCACCTACAGGTTAGACACCCCTGGTAGCACCTCATTCCTGCTTTGCTCTGTGCCTGGCATTCCTGAATTTAGTTCAGTTTTTCTAATATATCTACATCTTTTGCCTCGTATTCTTAGTTTATCACCTTTTTGTTAATACTGTTTTTTTCCAGATAATTGTTCAGTGAAATCACTTTTGTAGATATAATCATATTCTAGACATATAACTGAAACTCACTTTGCAAATTTCCTGTCCACTGTAACTACTGTCAGTCATTACCTATCTGTCTCTATATACCTATTTATCTACATGTTGATAGTTATCTGTCATCTACGAGAGTGAGTTCTAAGTTTCTGATTGTTGCTACCATGTACTAACTACAAATATAAATTCAGAAATTGCTATTAGGATTATTAAAGTAGATCTTAAATACCATTATGTATTGATTTGTCTTCTTTGAAAATAAGGTTTGCTTTCCTTTTGAGAATAAGAAAATCGAAAATGGCAGAACTCTTTATGGAATGTGAAGAAGAAGAGTTGGAACCATGGCAGAAGAAAGTAAAAGAGGTTGAGGATGATGATGATGATGAGCCAATCTTTGTTGGAGAGATATCAAGTTCAAAACCAGCAATTTCAAGTAAGCATTTACTTTTAGTGAAGTCAAGTTTTATAAGGTATTGTTTCTAATGGAAAAATTATGAACTGAGTTATAGGTACATATGATCTTGTTCTTTGATAAAGAGTTGGGGATGAACAGCTGCTTGGGAGGTAAATAAAAATTTTAGAAATAGGGCAGGGATGTGATTGGGTACTTGAGGAAGGTGGTAAGAGGTTAAAATGTCAGATCTGAGAAAGAGAAACAGACTAAGATTAGCTGGTGACATTGGAGGTCTTTTGTTACTAGAAATCATATTTTTTAGTGGAGCTAAGTATCCTATTTGTTTATTTATCCTATTTGTTCATATATCTTTTTTTCTCCCACTCAAACTCAGAAGTGGAAAAAATGGGTTTAGAATAATACTTCGTTTAAAATGTCAGGATGTACTAAATGAGTTTGTGTGTCTCACATAGGGGTTCTCAAATTCAGGCAACTGCCTCATTACATTGTCATCCATTCATAGATAAAAAATGTATAGGCAGTGAAGGATTGATTTCATAATTTCTGGTCTGTATACCAACAGGTACTTCTGACCATACCCAGTATCCTACAGCTTGCATTTGTTAGATTTGTTTTTTTCCATAAAATGGCTTCCAGTAGCACTTGGTTGTCTTTCATTTCATTTGAAACAATTTTGTTAGATTGTACTGTGACAACTGTCATATCAATGTGCATTGGAAAAAAACTTACCAAAATTGTTGAATTTTTGTGCAGCCATTTTAATACTGAAGATGGAAAAATTTGCAGCATTTTGGCATAGTATGCTTTCTTATTTCAAGAAAGGTAAAAACGCAACTGAAATGCAAAAAAAAAAGATTTGTGCAGTGTTTGGGAGAAGGTGCTATGACTGACTGAATGTGTTAAAAGTGATTTGCAAAGTTTCTTGCTGGACAATGCTCCGTGATTGGGTACACTAGTTAAAGTTGATAGCAACCAAGTTGAGACATTGAAACAATATCTCAATGTCTCTTTCTCCCCACTGAGGGGGGAAAAAAGTAAATTTTAATGATTTTTGGTGTGTATGTGCTTTTGTCTTTTTCTAATCAGCAATTTTAGGCAAATCCCTACTCTTCCAAATCTTAGTTAGGCTCACATTGACTTCTGGTATAGTGGTAGTTTAGAAACTCCTTAAGTTATAAGATACTATGGTAAACTGTAGGTTCATTTTAGTGTGCAGTCTCTGATAGTTTCCCTTTCAGAACTCAAGAGTAAAGGTGCAGATAATCCAAAGAGACCCTTATAAGGACACACTTCAAAGCTTTTAGGGATGTGTATAGGATATGGAATTTGGACAGGGGTTTGATTTTGAGTAATAGAAACCCGAGTGTATATACAGCCCTATTGTCACTCAAAGAAAGACATATACTTTAATTATAGGTTATATATGAATGTATTTTTGGAAAAGTTTTACTCATTATAATGAACTGTTTCTTTGCCATACAGAAGATTTGACTTAAGTAGTCAGGTTTATCAGACTTTTACTTCTGGCATTTGGATTTTATATTATAGTTAGAAAGGTTGCTGTAAGTCTATGAAATAGTTAAAGCTTGGAATCTTGTTTCTTTAGTAGATAAATATATACATATGTTTAAAATGAACTGTATTCTTAAGTCAGTGATAACTTACAAGTGTATATTCCTTTCAGGAACCGTTTTTCAATTAATAATGTCTATTACCATAATATATATTTCATTGAAACAAATGAATTTTAAAATAAATATAATTTTTTATAGATATTTTGAATCGAGTAAACCCCAGCTCATATTCAAGGGGAATAAAGAATGGCGCACTCAGTAGAGGTATGGTATTATTTTATTACTTCACTTAATTTAAATACTTTAATTAAATACTTCACTTAATTTTAAAGTGAAGTATTTTTATATCATTGATTATATAGAAATATATTTAATATATTGTGTAATTTTGAAATACAGGTATTACTGCTGCATTCAAGCCTACAAGTCAGCACTACACGAATCCAACATCAAATCCAGTGGCTGCCTCGCCAGTAAATTTTCATCCTGAATCTAGATCTTCAGATAGTTCTGTTACTGTTCAGCCTTTGTCTAAACCTGTAAGTGTTTCTGAAACTGCACAGTCAGCTCAGGAATACATTGGATATTATTTATCAGTGTCAACCATACCCAGTTAAAATTCTGGACATCATGGGTAGTCAGTCATTCAATAGAAGCATAATCAGCATCAGAAAATGTCATATGGTAGCTCAGCCAATACCCAAAGTAGTAACTGTAGGAACTAACTCCCCAGCCTGTTCCTAAATCAGGTAATGTGCTTAAATTAAATAGGTATAGTATTAAAAACTGTGCCATTAAAATGTGAATAAAAGTATAATCAGTAATGAATATTGCATAATAGCAAGCTGTTTAAGATGATATAAGATGATAAAGTGGGCTAAGTGTTTTACTTCTTAGTTCTTAATTGGGAAAATTCTTGAGAAGCTGTCATAGCTTTTTATTCTGAAATTGTACTTTCATAGTTAGTATAAAAAATTCAAAGCCCTGACTGGTGTAGCTCATTGGGTTAGGCATTGTCCCACAAAGCCAAAGGTCACCAGTTTGATTCCCTGTCAGGGCACATGGCTGGGTTGCGGTTTGGTCCCTGGTCAGGGAACATACGAGAGGCAACCAGTTGATGTTTCTCTTGCATGTTGATGTTTCTCTCCCTCTCTTTCTCCCTCCCTCCCCCCTCTCTAGAAATAAATAAATAAGATCTTTAAAAAAAATACCTCAACAAAAAATAACAGTTAATGGTAATCATTAATATTTATCAAACTGTTAATATGTGTAAGGCTTTGTGCTGAATGCTATCAATATAAAAATTAATCTAATTTAATTCTTAAATGTCCTTGTGAAGTAAGCAGTGTTATTATCCCTGTTTTTTATTTAAGGAAACTGAGGCTCACAGATGTTAAATGATTTACTCAGCATCACACAGCTGGCAGATGATAGTTTTGGGATTTCAATCCAGGTTTACCCATAGTTCATACACATTTGCATACATACATATGTACATACATACTCATATATATTTTATATATAAATGTATACTTAAAAAGTTGGAGCATTGCCTTAGTATGACAGTTTTCAAAGTTCTAGGTTTAGGCCCTGGAATTTCCCCTGAGATTCTTTCATGGATTTTGGAGTCAACACTATTGTCATAACACAAAGACACTATTTGCCTTTTATATTATGTTGACATTTGCACTTGTGATGCAAAAGCAATGGTGGGTAAACTGCTGATGCCTCAAGACATTGATATCAGGCTGTACTAGTAGTTTTTGTTTTAGTCACCACCATGCACTCACAGTAAAAAATATTACAATCATACTATTCCCTCGAGGAAGTATTGAGATGTTACTAATTTAGTTAACAACCTGCTTTTGAATAGGTGTCTTTTAAAAATATTTTGTGTGGTGAAATGGGTAGTTTGTGTAAAGCACTTCTTTGAACTATGATGTATTTTGAAGAAAACTGCTTTGGTTGAATTGTGAGCTAAACTATCCGCTTTTTAAAAATAGAAGACCATTTTTACTTGAAAGAATGACTATTATTTGTTTCTCCATATCAATGTTACCACAAACTTGTGGTTTAAAACCACGCAAATTTCTTATCTCACACTTTCTATGGGTTAGGAGTCAGGTCATAGCTTAGCTGGATCCTCTGCTTCAGAATCTCAAAAGGCTAGGTTCAAGGTGTGGGCTCTTAGGTAGCAGTCTCATTTGAAGCTTGACTAGGGAAGTATCTGCTTCCAGGTTCTCGTGGTATTGGCAGCATTCGATTACTTGAGTTGTCATAGCTTTTTGTTTCCTCAAAGCCCACAAGAGAAAAAGAATCTTGGCAAGGTAAAATTAAAATCTAATGTAATATGATCACATATAAAAAGTTATGTATAACCTGTCACCTTTGCTGTATTATTTTGGTTAGAAGCAAGTTACACTCAGAGAATCACACAGGACATGAATACCAGAGGGTGGGGTCATGGAGGTCACTTTTGAGTCTGGCCACCACATATAGTGAGTTATTTAATCTTGGTGTTTTGGCAGGCAGACATTTCTACAGAATTGAAAAGGGCACTTGCCACTTTAAAAAAAAAGATGAATAGTATTTTTTGTGAATGGTAAAATTTGAGCTTTCAAGCAAATAATAGAAATTTGGAAAACTTGTATCTGCCACCATGGTCTTGACAGCTTCCTTAAAGACTTTTCTAATGGGTGTATTAGGTTTTATGATATTGTATAATGAACTCTGTCAAGATTTGGGAGATCTGCATAATTCAAAGAAACCAGTATTTTCCATGTAGTCATTGCATGATATTAAAAAGTCATACATGAAAGAAAGATTCATTTGCTCTGGTTGGGTGCCTCAAGTTTGGAGCATCATCCCCTGCATCAAAAGGTTGCAGGTTTAATTCCTGGTCAGGGCACATACCTGGGTTATGGGTTTGGCCATAGCTCTGGCTCTGTATGGGAGGCAGCCGATCAGTGTTTCTCACACTGATGTTTTTTTCCCTCTCTTTCTCTAAAATTGATAAACATATCCTTAGGTGATGATTAAAATTTTTTTTAAAAGAAAGATTCATTCAGAAAGTCAGATACATTAACAGATTTTAATGAAACAAAGTACAAAAAGGTTTTTAGTGATAAGGAGTAAGATTCCACATTCCAAAAAACCTTTAATACCAACTGTTGAATTTTGTTGTAGTATTGTATACTGTTATCCTGAATTATATCAAAATACTCCCTTTTTGAATTATATATATATTTATGAAGCTATACTGTTTTTATATTTTCAACCAAAACAACATTTCCTAACAGATTAAGGGAAGAAACAGATATGAGACTATAGCAATATTTGATTGAGCTAGGCATTGTAGAGATTTGCAGATATGTAAAACAGTGTCACTATTTTCTCGTATTTTCAAAATAGTAATTTTCTTATAAAAATTACTTATGCTAATCTATAATGGGCTTGTTAAAATTAATATTTTTAAAAATTTCTGTTTTACTATCTAATATGATAAATATCAATAGATATATCCCACCTAAATAGAAACTCTTTTGGGTCTTAAGTAATTTTTAAATGTGTAAAAGGGTCCTGAAACCAAGAAGTTAAAATACTAAAATAAAAAGTTACCCAAAACATAGATATTTGACTATAAGTCAGATTAACTCAGTGTTTTTTTTTGTTTTTTTCATGTTTATAAGCTATTTGACATTGGCCTTAGAGAAATAGTAAATTTTTTAATGTTCTTTTGACATTAAGGGAAACAACTACCAAAGCCACCTGTACATTTTCTTGTGAGTTTAATACAAGGATTGAATCCAAATATATTTAGTATGAATAATTTATTTTTTGTTTATTCCATATTACTATAAGGTGTAATCTACCTATGTGTTAGCACTAAAAGTTGGTATTTTGAGGTGGTATCTTTTATAGAAGAGTTATTAAATTTCAGTTTACATAAAAATGAAAAGAAAGGCTACAGCCTTTTAAATGCATGGCTAAATAAACCCAACTTCCACTTATATTTTGAAGATATTATATATCATAAAAAATAGAATATCTTTGAGCAAACACCTACCCTCTACCACCTCCCCTCCCCTTCTGAATTCTTTTCTGTGACTTTAGCATTCTGAAATAATGATTAGTAATGATAGGAGCCCTGGACTAGTATTTTTAAAACTTAGATTGAAGCAAATGACTTGAATGCTGATTCTGCCCTGCTCTTAACATTGTCAAAATCTCTCTGAGACTCATTTTCTTCATTTATAAAATGAGAGATTTTACCCAGACCACTGATTCTCAATCTTGGATTCAAAGGTTCCATAGGCTATATCTGATGCTATAGAAGATGGAAATCTATGAAAAATATGAAGATTCTTTGCTACTAGTTGGAGTCAGATTAAGTCAGTGGTTTTCTAGTGCTTATTGTAAGCTGTTGGCATTTGGGGGATAGAAAAACGAGAAAAAGAAGTTTTATTATTCAGTTTGATAGAGAAAATCTTTCTAGCATTGAAAAAAATTAAATGAGGGGTGTTATGTTTGATGTTATAAAATTTAGAAACTGGAGTTTTTGAAAGTACATTGTTTTATTTCTGTAGGCAAAGTTTTAAATCAAAGCACCTCACATGGTGTTGCCCAGCCTTGGAGAGCTTAAAAGGAGAGATTTTGCCAGTTGGTCTGAGTGGGTCTTGAAGTGATATATTTTAAAAAGTACTCTCCAAATGATTCTAATGTGCAGTCAAGGTTAAGAATGACAGATATATTCTGGAATGAATTAAGAATACATTTTAAGGGAATTTACTCTGAAATTTGGAAGCCATTCTTCTTTTTTTCTTTTTAGACTTTGTTTATATAATTGAAGAGAAGGGAAGGGAGGGAGGAAGAGTGGGAGATAAACATTAATGTGTGGTTGTCTCTTGAGTGCCCCCTACTGGGAACCTGAGCCACAACCCAAGCATGTGCCCGGAACAGGAATTGAACCAGCCACCCTTTGGTTTATAGGCTGACACTCAGTCCACTGAGCCATATCAGCCAGGGCTGGAAGCCACTGTTGTTAATAAATTATATTGTAGTTTTTCATTTTATATCATGTTTTTTGTGTATGTATTTATTTTTTCATGGAATTTCTTTATACTTCATCATCTCTTTAAAGTCTCAGGGAGCAGGGATCTGTTATCACTTATAAAGTCAGTGTAATGTAGCCTGAAGACATAGGCTTGGTAACCAGACCTGGGTTCTAATTAGAACTCCATCAATAAGAAGTTAGGACTGTTTTGGGAATCTTACATATCATAATCAGTCTGTAAATTTATAGAATGGGGGTATAATAGTTGGTCTTTATTACTGCTGTTGTGACAACTACTTGATTTAATTCATACATGTACAGTGAAGTGCAAGTACATTTGAAACACATGTACTGTGTAATACAAGTATATGTCAAGTGAAAGTACATTTAAGTTTAAAAGGTAAATAACTGAAACTCAGAAATGACTTGCCCGAGGTTACCTAGTTAAATAAATGTACAGATCTTCTAAATCTTAGTCTAGTGCCTTAAATTGTATTTGATATCTTTGTGTACTATTTTATAAGACATTGAAATTCCCTGTTAAGGATTATTTTAACTAGTTATTGTTGAATAACATATCTGTTCTCTGAGATTGTAGTACTTAATTAACCAGAATTGTTTACTAGAAAATGTTATCACTGTTAACTTTATATTTCTGTTAAAGTACTGTTTTGGAAAATGTAATTGAATATTTTTCATTCTTCGAAAGGCAGGTATTTGGAAAAAATATTTATTTTGAAGTAACATTGTGCTTGGTTACAGTTAATGCCATTTGGCAGTATTGATTTCAGTTTTTTTGTACAACATGTTAAGGCTCAAATACAGGTATCTTCCGGTAAGGCCTATAATACTAGGAGTGGTTTGGGTTTCCATACCTTTTTTAAAAAAAGCAACAACCATCATTTATTTAGTCACAGATCTGCAATTTGTACAGCATGTGGTAAAGCAGGTTCATCTGTTTCTCTTTTAATTAATTAATTTTATCGAGATGTAATTGACATATTATATTGGAGGTGTCAAATTCATTTTCACCAGGGGCCACATCAGCCTTGCGGTTACCTTCAAAGGGCCGAATGTAATTTTAGGACTGTATAAATGTAATTACTCTTTAACAGTTAAGGAAGAGCTCAGCACTGCCACTGGGTAGAAACAAGGTGCTGGGCCAGATTAAACAAGGTAGAGGGCTGGATTCTGCCTGTGGGCCTGGTGTGTGCCACCTGTGTATTATGTGAATTTCAGATGTACAACATAAAGACTTGATGTTTGTATAATTGTTTTTCTGTGTATTTTATTGATTATACCATTACAGTTGTCCCATTTTTTTCTCCCCTTTCTCACTCTTCGCTCTACACTCCAATTTCAACATACCTCCCTCTTAGTTTATGTCCATAGCTAATACATGTAAGTTCTTTGGCTTCTCCATTTCCCATACTATTCTTAACCTCCCCCTGTCTATTTTGTAGCTACCATTTATGTTTCTTATGCCCTGTACCTTTTCCACTATTGTCTCCACTCCTTCCCCACTGATGAACCTCCATTTGATCTCCATTTCTGTGATTCTGTTCCTGTTCCAGTTGTTTGCTTGTTTGTTTTTTAGGTTCAGTTGTTAATAGTTAAGAGTTTGCTGTCATTTTATTGTTCATAGTTTTGATCTTCTTTTTCTTAGGTAAGTCCCTTTAACATTTCATATAATAAGGATTTGGTAATGATGAACTCCTTTAATTTGGGAAGCACTTTATCTGCCCTTCCACTGTAAAGGATAGTTTTTCTGGATAGAGTAATCTTGGATGTAGCCCCTTGCCTTTCATGACTTCGAATACTTCTTTCCAGCCCCTTCTTGTCTGTAAGGTTTCTTTTGAGAAATCAGCTGATAGTCTTATGGGAATTCCTTTATAGATAACTCTCCTCTCTTGCTGCCTTTAAGCTTCTCCCCTTATCTTTAATCTTGGGTAATTTAATTATGATGTGTCTTGGTGTGTTCCTCCTTTGGTCCAATTTCTTTGGGACTCTCAGAGTTTCCTAGATTTGTATGTTTCTTTTCTTTGCCAGATTGGGGAATTTTTCTTTCATTATTTGTTCAAATAAGTTTTCAATATCTTGCTCTTCCTCTTCTCATGCTGGCACCCCCATGATTCGGATGTTGGTTTAAAGTTGTCCCAGAGGTTCCTAAGCTTCTCCTCATTTTTTTTGAATTCTTGTTTCTTCATTCTTTTCTGGTTGAATGTTTATTCTTTGTTCTATTCCAAATCATTGATTTGAGTCCCATTTTCCTTCCTGTCATTATTGGTTCCTTGTACATTTTCCTTTATTTCACTTTGCATAGCCTTCACTTCTTCCTCTATTTTGTGACCATACTCAACCATTTCTGTGAGCATCCTGATTACGAGTGTTTTGAACTCTGCATCTGATAGGTTGGCTATCTCATCATTACTTAGTTCTGTTTCTGGAGTTTTGATCTATTCTTTTATTTGGATCATGTTTCTTTGTCTCAGTGCAGTTGTTATATTGTAAGGGGCAGAGCCCTAGGTATTCACCAGGGCAGGGCAAGCCACTTCGCTGTGTTGTGGTCCTGCATGTGGGGGAGGGATCAGAGAGGGAACATTTTCACTTGCTTGGCTTTCACCCTGCTTTCAGTCACTTCCCCTGCTACCCACAAGTGAATTGGGCCCTTCTGGTGCTGATTCCCGGGTGGATGGGTTTGTGTATGTTCTAGTACCCTGTGGGACCCTCCAACAGACTCTTCTGTGAGACTAGGAGTTTCTCCTGCTGCTGCAACCCCCACAGGTTTTTACCACCAGAGGTTTTGAGGCTTTATTTCCCTAAGCTAGAACCTGGTGTGCATGGTCTGTTTTCCTCTCCTGTTGTTCCTCCCTGCTTATCTGCATGTGAATTTGGGACCATCAGGTCCACCAACCACCACCTTGCTGTCCATTCTCTCTGTCCCAGCTGTGTGACTCTGCCCCTCCTACCAGTCTGGATGAATGTTTCTTATTTAATTCCTTGGTTGTTGGAATTCCCTACAGTTTGATTTTCTGGCAGTTCTGGTGGTTTTTTGTTTTTAGATTATGATACATGGAATGATCCAGAAGTCACTCTGAGAGATTACTCTCCTTGATGATGGTCTTTAATAAATAGCATTAGAGCGTATTTTGTGTGTATCAGTATCTTTAATACATAATAATATTGGAATATATGAGGTCTGTCCAGAAGGTATCCAGCCATGTAATATAAAAAATAGAGACATTTGTTGAAGAAGATTCAAGATACAAGAAACATTGGGTGTAGGACAATGATGCCTCAGTCCCTTTCAAAGTAGGCGCCTTGAGACCTCACACAGTTCTCCCAATTGCTGTCATATTTTCTTGAATCTCATCAGTGGTCTGAAATCTCCTCCCTTTCAAAGGTGATTTTAGTTTTATGAAAAGCCAGAAGTCACAGGGCACCAAATCTGGGCTGTAGAGGAGCTGAGTCACCTGGATGATGAATGTTTTGCCAAAATACTTGGTACCATGTGCTGCATGGGCAGGTGCGTTGTCATGATGAAACTGCCAATCACTCTTTGCATCCCTGAAAGCCTTGTGAATCATCTGAATAGTTTCCACAGAGGAATGTTCAAGCTTTAACACAAAATTTGATGCAGATTCATTGCTCTACTTGCTCAGTCATTTTAAATGCAATAGCCCCACATTATACACGTCCTCACTAAGTAGCATCTGTCACCCCCACTGGCTAGTACAGTGAAGTTGTCATTGTTCATGCATGCACATTCCAGTACACTCTCCTTGACTGCCAGGTTACGTCAGTGCCACACAAACTGTTCTTGTTATGTTAAAAATGGCTGGACTTTTTCTGGACAGACCTTTTATATGCCTACATTATATTGACCACACTTTTCATAATTATTTACACTAAACATACATGTGTGTTAATATACATTTATACTTAACCACATAATGATTCATCTCATACTTTTTACTTTTCTTGAGATCATTCTGCTAGCTGGAAGGTGTGAAACTTCCCTTGAGTCCTGATGTCTCCTGCTGGTCTAGATCATTCCTATATACATCTTCCATTTTAAACCCTGCCTACCTAGTTTTCTTTTTTGTTCACCTTGCTGGTCAGACATTTTTTGTATTTGCTCATGGTAGGATGGCAAGTTCCCTGACCTATCATGGTTTTTTGAGGGATGGTGGGAAGAATGGGGAACTCATTCTTTTTCTTCCTGACCTTTGGCCTAACAGATCTTTCCAATATAGATGATTCTAAAACTCATACCATGTGGTATATTCATCCCTAACCCTGATGCATAATACTGCAGATTGATTCCCAGTTTGTTTGCCCTGATATTTGGCTCTGTGGTTTATAGAGTTGCAGAAGCTTTTAAATTTGTGTTTATATTAGTATGTTTTTCTGTATTTTTCCTTACATTTATCCAAAGTTTTGCTAAAATCTATTATTTGCTCTTTGAAGGAAATACTGTTTTTAGTAACTCTGATATATAATTAATCTTGATTTAAAATGGGTTTATGTGTTTTTTTTACTTTGAAAAAAATTATACTAGAACTTGCCCCCCTAGTCAGGAATAAGCCACCTCTAAGTTTGCTTTTAGATTTAGTAAATGATAATTTTGGCAGAGAGTAATAATTGCATTTGTATTTTATAAGTTATTAGTAATTGAGTCATCAAAGATTTCTTATAATATTGCATACAGTTGAATTTATTTTATAAAAGTTTATGAAACAAAATAATTATAACTCGAATAAATGTAATATTTTCCCTTTGGAATATTTTAACAGGGTTACATAACAAACTCATCACGAGTTGCATCTAGTAATTCTACAGAGTTACTGTTTGACTTGACCCAGGATACAGGATTATCACGTTTCCAAGGTGGACCAACACTTTCTTTAGCAGGTTGGTTTTAGTACTTTTTCAAAAAAAATTAGAAAATGAAACCTGATGAATATGTATATGGAATCAACTTTCTGTTTTGAAGTTCTTGTCTTCATCTTTAGTTTTTTATATAGTAAAGAGGAATGATGCTAATCTTGAATGCCTTTCTTGGGTAATTTTAAGTCTTATTTAATAATAGAATATTTCTTCCTTTTAATTAATTAGGCTAATTGACTTTGAAATTGTTATCACTCACACTAAACATAGACTGAAAAATCTGAAAATAATTTTAGTGTTTTAGAGAAGCCCTTTGAGAACCTAAATACTCTGTCAAAAGAACTGTTCATTAGCTTCTATGATGACTAGTGTGAAAAAGTATGATTATAGTTGATTTCTTAATTAGATTAGTGTCTTTCTGTTCATTTAATGACTTAAATGTGACAGTTAAATATGGTTATAAAGTGCTATTATAAGTGGCTATAATAAATTTGTATGTAGCCAAATTCTAAGGAAATGCCTATTAAAACAGTAATGAAATTTCCTTATTGAAGAAGAAAAGCTCCCATTGGCTTTTCAAGTTGCCAGATCATTTTACAAGAATGCTACTGTGGCCCTGGCTGGTGTGGCTCAGTTTGAGCATCGTCCTGTGGGCTCACAGGTTGTGGGTTCGATTCCTGGTCAATGCATATACCCAGATTATGGGTTTGATTTCTGGTCAGGGAACATTTGAGAAGGCAGCCGGTTGATGTTTCTCCCATTGATGTTTCTCCCTCTCCCTCCTCTCCTTTCCTCTTTCTCTAAAGCAATTTAAAAAAATGTCCTCTAGTGAAGATAAATAAATAGGTAGATAAATAAATAAAAATAATGTTACTGTAATTACACAAAATCTTTCCCAAGTAACCATAGAGTAGCCATATTAGTAATCATGTGCTTTGAGGATGGAAAAGAAATCATTTTTATGTCATCTCAAAGAATGAAACAGAGGAGCCTACTAGTGTAGTAGTGGCTTAATTTTTTGACGTTTCTCTTTATTAAAAAGCTGACAGGTAAATCTATTAGAATAATTTTTCCCTCTAAAATAAGATAAAACAAAATACTTTTTTAGTAATGATAGTAGCTGTTATTTATTATTGCTTGCTTTTTATGTGACAAATATTGTATTGGATGCTTTAAAGGCACTATCTTTTTTATCTTAAAAGAACTTTGTAAAATAAGGTATAATAACAAAAGAGGAAACTGAAGCTTAGAGAAGTTAATTAAATAAGCCAAGAATACATAGCTAGTCAGTGACAGAGCCTGGATTTGAATTTACCTTGTTTGACTTAAAAGCCTATAATACTTTTTTTCATTTTAAAATCACTTTTATTTTTTAATTACAGTTGACATAGCTTATTATATTAGTTTCAGGTATATACTCCATTGATTAGACATTACATAACTTAAGTGATCATCCCGATAAATCTTGCACTGTACATACTTAGTAGAATATTGGCAACATTCCCTATGTTGTACTCTACATCTTACGACTACTCTGTAATAACCAATTTGTACTTTTCTTTTTAAGATTTTATTTACTTGTTTTCAGAGAGAAAAGGGAAGAGAGAAGGGAAGGGAGGGAGAAAGAGAGAGAGAAACATCAGTGAGTGGTTGACTCTTGAGTTGGGGGGGCCTGTCCTGTATCCAAGTATGTGCTCTGACTTGAGAATCCATCGAGTAACCCTTTGGTTCCCAGGCCTGCACTCAATCCACTGAGCCACACCAGCCAGGGCCCAATTTGTACTTTTTGATCCATTTACCTTTTTCACCTATCCCCCTAAACCTACTCCCATTTGGCAACCATCAAAATGTTCTGTTTCTATGAGTCTCTTTCAGTTCTGCTTGTTCATTTATTTTGAATTTTAAATTTAGTTGTTGATAGATATGTATGTATTGCCATTTTATTTTTTATTTTTGATGTTGTTTTCCTTCTTCTTAAGAACATCCTTTAACATTTCATATAATACCAGTTTGGTGATTTGGTGATACCAGTCTTTTAAGGGTTTGGGGGTTTTGGGTTTTTGTTGTTGTTTTTTGTCTAGGAAGCCCTTTATCTTTCATTTTAATTTAAATTAAAGGAAGCTCTGTCCTTTCATTTTAATGATAGCTTTGCTGGGTAGAGTAATCTTGATTGTAGGTTCTTGCTTTTCATCACTTCAACTATTTCTTACCACTTCCTTCTGGCCTGGGAAGTTTCTATTGAGAAATCAGCTGACAGTCTTATGGGATTAAATCTGGAATATTTCTAATATATTTACTTTATTGATTCCACCTTTAGTGTACAGTTGGGAGCATTAAAATATCATGTGCTGGTTTAGAATTCTTATTATAATGCATTGTTGTGTTATTCTCAGAAAGGACTTTTGCCTGGCCTACATACCCCCAGTCTCCTTGCTAATGCTCTTAACTTTAAGGTGATGGTTTTTAAACTAAAAACTCTTTTTAGGAATGAAATTCTTGTACAAACAGAATTATATGCAATATCTAATAAAAAATAGAGGACAGTTTCTCTGTCGGACATACCCAGTAGTCCCTTTGAGGAGTCCATGAAGCTCTGGGAGACATAATTTAAAAACCTAACTCCTTTCATCAAGATAAGTTGTTTTTGCCCTGAGGGGTGTGGCTCAGTTGGCTGGACATCATCCCACAAAGTGAAACATCTCTGGTTTGATTCCATCTCTGGACAGAGCACATGCCTTGGTTGTGGGTTCAGTCCCTCTTCAGGGCACATATGAAGGGTAACTGAGAGATGTTTTCCTATCACATTGATGTTTTTCTTCCTCTCTCCTTCCTTTACCCAATCTCTTAAAAAAACAAGGATTAGTTGTTTTTACTTTGTACATAGAAATAAATGGGGATAATACCATCTAAAGCCATGTATAGACCACTTCATTAGGTGGGAAACTAACTTTTCCTTAAACATTTTAAGTTGTTAAATAAAAAGCTTCTAAAGTATCTCTAAATTCTTAGGAAAAATATTTTTAACAAACTTTAAATCATTTAATCATCAAAAGATAATTCATTTGTAAGAACTTAGTTCAGAGTATTCTCTGTGCATTAATTTTTCCTTTGGGTGTTTTGGTATGGCTTCTTTCATCATAGCTGTTTGTATATTTATTTGAAGCCTTATTGAGTATTTTCTTGTATAGAAAAATTACTTTATGAATTATTTTAGTATACGTTGTCTATAATAGCTGTTCATAAAACCTTTTCTGCATCCCCTTACTCGATCACATCAGTGTTATAATTTATTGTTATTCTTGTTACGATATTTCAATTATAATACCTCCAAAATATTTTACTTAGTACTTTACTTAATTTACCTCCAAAGTATTTTTACTTAGTTGTAAGCAATATTCTAAAGTGTTTAAAAATATTTTTCCCACTGTTTTAATTATTATAGGTGTGAATGAAAGTTCATTTTTATCAAAACGTCCTTCTACTTCCGAGGTGAACAGTGTTAATCCAAAAAAGTCTAAACCCAGTGAAAGTGTTTCTGGAGCAAATTCCTCAGCCGTATTTCCTTCAGCTAAATCTCTTTCAGTGACATCTCCCCAGGCTCTGTCATCAAAAGGTAAATATGAAATGTGGCATATAAAACAGAAATGTATAGATACCATTTAGAAATTATAGTAAATTTACAAATTGGTTAGTGGTTATTTGCAGTTAAAAAGTGATGAATTTTGAATCATATGTTTTGAATTTATTTTAGGTACCAATACCTCATCAAGTCAATCTAAAAACGGCACGCCTTTTCCAAGAGCTTGTCCAAAGTGCAATATTCATTTCAATCTTTTGGATCCTTTGAAAAATCACATGAAGGTAAAACTTTTTCAAAGTTTGTTTTTAAAAAAGTTTGCAAATCCCTAGAACTATTGATTGATTTTTAGTAAATAATTGTTCATATATTTAGTTAAGAACTCTCATGTTGGAATTTCCATATAACAAGTAAAAATTTATATTCATAATGATTATCTTCATGTAAGATTTTAAAATTTCTTCTGAATCATTAAATTTAAAAAATTAAGTTCATATACATGATAATATATGCTTATTCTAATTTTAAGTGAAAATAAATCATTAATCATATTAGTTTATTTACTAGATTATGCCATGCTTCAAGCTTTTAAAAAACAGGCATTTTATTCTATGTTTAAGGTTTTATATGACAACAGTTTCTTCAGTTATGTTATTTTTGTGTCTATGCTGATATGTACATGTCACAATACACAATGAAAATCAGAGTTTCATGTTTAATTTTCAACACTCAAACGTAAACTCCTAATGGTGGAGCATTTCATATGAGCTAATTGTTTTAACTCAGTTCAGAATATAGTTTGTGTAATTGTTACAAAATAATTCAAGTTTATCATTGGTATAAGAAGCTCTTAATTAGATTTTAAGAAATTTTCAAGATACAAATGAAATATGAGGTTTAGATAATACTTCACTTAAAAAAATTTAGTAGATATTATAGTATTTTGCTCTTTCTATGTAAAGAGATGCTGTATCCTAGGCCCTGTGGCTCAGCTGGTTGGAGCGTCGTCTGATAAAAAAATACAGGTTCGATCCCCAGTCCTGGCATGTGTGGGAGGTGACCAATTGGTGTTTCTCTCTCACGTTGATGTTTTTCTTTCTCCCTTCCTCTCTCTCTAGAAAAGCAATGAAAAAAAGTACTCAGGTGAGGATTTAAAAAAAGATAGCCTGTATTCTCCTTGTATGGCCAGTATAAATATCAGGAAGGGGTAAAAAAAAGGGGGGGGGGAGTGTTGAGAAGAGACCAAAAAAACCCCAGAATTTATTTATAAAAAATTGTGTATTTATTCTTACATGTGTAACTTCAGTCACCTTCGAAGTATTCTATATTTGATGCAATACACCTATTGAGACTTTTTTCCACTGCTGAAAACAGTTTTTAAACTTGTTGATTTTGGTACCTTTTAATGTTTTTGTTGTATTTTTCACCTTTTTCACATCTGCAGAACTTTCCCTTTGAGGATGTTTTTCATCCAGGGAAACAGAAAAAGTGGGTGGGGCAAGATTGGGTGAAAGGTGAGAGTGGGACATAGGAATCATGTGATATTTGGTCAAATCCTGCTGAACACTCAGCACAGTGTGGGCAGGTGTGTTGTCACCTGCCCACAGGAAGAACCAGTCATCTGTTTGCCACAACTCAGGATGTTTCTTCCACAAATTATGATGCAACCTTCTCAGAACATTCAGATAAAAACTTTGGTTGACCGTTTCATCTCAAGGAACAAATTCCAAGTGCACAGTCCCTCTCACATCAAAGAAACAAATGACCGTTGTTTTTATGTTTGACCTCACTTGTCATGCTTTTTTGCATTGTGGGGAAATGGCTGTTTTCCATTGGCTAGAATGCTATTATGTTTTGGGGTTGTAATACAGTTATGACTTTGGAAAAAAATCAGGGTCAACCTCCACCTGCTCCTTCAAAGCACAACATGTAGTCAAGTGATTGTCTCTGTGTTCAGGCATGAGCAGGTGAGGCATGGATTTTGCTGAGACTCATTTCATGCTCAAGTCTTCAGATAAAATTCACTGATAGGACTCCACAATGCCTCATTCAACTCTGCAAGTTCATTAATAGTCCAGCAGTGGTCTTCCAAGATGGCTTGATGAACCCTTACCACGTTTCCTTATTTTGGCTGGTTGAAGGATGCCTGGAACAAGGTTCATTGTCAGTCCACATCTTGTCTTGTTTAAAATGGGAAAACCATTCATACACTTACTTGTGTTTTACTCAGAGTAGCTTCTTTGTAAGCTATCTGTAACATAACAACCATTTCCGTCACATTTTTCCCCAACAAGAAACAAAATTTTACCGCTGCATGTTGTTTGTATAAATCACTTATCATGAAATGGGCAAACGTGTTGAAAGAGCCTTTAAAAAAATTCTTGAAGCCAAATACAGCCTCTCACAATGCCACCTGTATGCTGATACAGATAGGTTCCTAGAACACTGACCTAGTGGGGGAAAGCCTGTACTACAAGGGGCCTGCCCTTCAGAAGATAATTCCAGTTTTTTGGGGTCCCTCTTTGTATAGCTTTGTAGTTCAGTATGTGTCTTTCACCTTTAGAATGTATATTTTTTGCTGATACTTGCTAAGATCTATTACCATTGGATCCTTTTGATTGCTCTGATCTACTTCCAAATGTGTATATGTGTATCTTCTGTCTGAACTTGGCTACTTTGAGTAGTGCTTTCATATGTTGTGGAGTCTGGATTTTATCTGGCACTTAGTTTCAATGAAAATATTTTTTAGAATTTGGTTGTGGCTTTGGGTGAATCCCAGGAGAAGGGGAAATGATGACATATATGATGATCATATGGGAAATTCTGTTTTACTATTTAAACATGGTACCCACCTTTTTTGCTCTGAAAATCCTACCTAAGAACATGGTCTTTCTACTGGGAGAAATGAAAATGTGAATGGTGTTTAGACAGTGTCTGCTATTTGTCAAATTATAGTATATGGAAGTATTTAGGATTGTAGTATTTAATAACCCAGGAAAAGAAATGATAAAATGGCAGACTGGTACAACCATTATGGAAAACAGTATGGAATTTTCTCAGAAAAATAAAAATTGACCTGCCTTTTGACCCAGCAATTCCACTGCTAGGATTATACCCCAAGAATCCTAAAACATCAATTTCAAAGAACCTATGCACCACAATGTTCATAGCAGCACAATTTACAATAGCCAAGAGTTGGAAGCAACCTAGGTGCCCATCAGTAAATGAATGGATCAAAAAATTGTGGTACATATACACCATGGAATTCTATGCAGCAGAGAGAAAGAAGGAGCTACTACCTTTTGCAACAACATGGATGGAACTGGAAAGCATTATGCTGAGTGAAATAGGCCAGGCATTGAAGGACAAATACCATATGATCTCACCTTTGACAGGAAGCTAAAGAATAAAACAAACAAGCAAACAGAATAAAAACAAAGACGCTGAAATAGAGAACAAGTGGGCAGCGACCAGAGGGGAGAGGGAAGGGAACTTAAGGGGGAAAAGGGGAAGGGATTTTGAGGAAGAAGTATGAAAGACACAGAGATGAGGACTGGGGGGAGGGGAATGGGAGGGAGGGGGGAGACCGGGCAGGGGGGGGGTGGGATGGGAGAAATAGATTAAAAAAAAATGTACTTGAAAAGCAACCAAATAAAATTTAATATTAAAAAAAAGAAATAAAAAAGAATAAAAAAAAAGAAATGATAAAATGGGGGTAATGGTGAAGGGTTAAGGCTGAATAAAAAAGTTGATCTTGCACTATAGCTCAGCCATGCCATCCGAAATTTACCTTGTCCTATAAAACCTTAAATCTAAGCTCTGTTCTTATTTCTTAAGTTGCTTTCTTGCCTTTTGAATATTTTCTTTAAAATATTTTTCTGTTCTCTCAGTTATTACATTCTTTAACCTACTTCGGTTCACCTTGTTCATTCTTAGTTGTCAGTGGTTTTAGTGTTCAGCTGTTTTAAAGGTATATGAAACATTATTTAAAAGATACTGTGAATGTATTATTTTAAAAAGCTGATTCTAGCTTTTCTATTAAAAAATGAACAGCAAGCAATTGATCATCTGTTTCACATATCATAATTTGTGAGCTTTAACTTTCGTAGATGTACCAAATTAGACATTTTTAAAGAATATAAAGCATGCAGCACACTCTTCTATCCATTATTTTCTAGATTTCAGTAAAGAATCCCATTTCAAATATGAAAAACAGTAACTTCTACAGTCCGAAAGCCAGATTTTATGTTTGAGTATGTAAGATTATCCACATTTCTACTTAGGGAGACTATCTGCATTATATAATTTTTGTGCGTTATAATTTTTTCCACTGATGGCTGAGTAAACTGTAAACACTAGTAGAACTGTAGATAAGATGAGGGGTTTGTCTATCAAATTGATGCTACTGATAGCATCATTTGTAGTAAGACATATATTTTGAGTCTTTTTTCTGATTGTGCTAGTAGCTTTACTCTGAACCATCTTTTTCTCCATTTATCCTTAAAATCAAAAACAGTGTCAGTTTTATACTTGGAAAACAATTTAAAACATGGAGGAAAAACAAGAGGGATCAATAAGGACATGAAGTAATGATAAAAGGGTCAGTTCAGAGCTATGTATCTAATAAAATAACTTTAACATTAAAAAAAATACCAAAAAAGGCGTTTTTAAGAAGCTTAGCCTGGCAAAAGTCCTTAGAAATAGTTTGACTTTCTTAACTTTGAGCTCTTAAATATTATGTGTCTAAAGAAGAATCTAGAAACATAGGAAAACCTTTCTCATTTTCTTCTTTTTGTAGTGGCTTCATTTGAATTGTATTTATTCTGAGTAGTACATTATAGAGGATCAGAATGTATTACAGAACTAATATATATTCTGATTTAGTTTATGGGTGCAACCTTAACTTAAACAAAAATTTTGTTTATTTTTGTGGGTCCGTTCTATTCAGTACTTTCCCCTCTCTTTTTGATCTATTTTAGATTTTGTGGGGGTTTTGGGTATTTTTTCTTCATAGGTTTCAAAATTGACAAGTGAATAAAATAAGCGCCATTAAAGGAAATGTTACCAGTCTGTTTTGAGACTGACACGCTGCCTACTGCGCTAAGAGGGCACCTTTGTTTTGGATCAAAGGCCTAGATTGCCACGTGACATAGAAAGTTTCACCTATGATCTAACATTTCAGTGTGACGAGAGGAAGTGGATATTGTTATCTTAGAAATGGAATACAGTTGCTTTTAGGTTTTCATATTTTCTGATATTGCTACTAATTTACTAAATAACACATTTAGGAAGAGTTTAAGTCAGTTGGTTTATGTTGTGAAAGAATTACCTGGATGGCTGTTAAAAATATATATATTACTGGGGCCTACATCTCGATGTTGTGGTTCATTGGTAGGAGTGGGCCCAGGAATTAATTATCATTTTGACAAGCACTTCTGGTTTTTGTAATACAGGTCTTTGGATTGCTCTTGAGAAAAAGTGCTGTAGAGAAATTTTACAACTAAAAATTATGTACATAAATGAATTAGTTATATCTTGTTGGGGATAAAAAGCTCATCTATGAAAGTGTTCTGTATTATGTAATATAGAACATTATGTAATATTTTGATTTTATTTAGGAGCAACTAAGTTTTCCCTTCAGATATTTAAACATTCTAGATATCAAGATGTGACTGTTGAAGTTTTCAAGACGTAATTGATGCTTTTTTCTTTTTTCCCTATACATTTATACCACCTTGAGCCTGGGGAATGAATGGCAGGTTAACTGTGCTTGATGTCCAGTTTCAACCAGAGTTGTAAAATTTACTGTGTCACTTAATTACCACAAACACTCTAGCACATAAAATTACATTTTCTTTCTATACTCTATCTTGACATGGATATGAAGTGAATGATTTTTAGTTTAGCTTAGTTAATTTAAGTTTTTAAATTATTATTAAATACATCTGAAAAGGTAAATTGCAAGGAAAAAACTTTTAGATCACTAGCCAAATCCTGATTTGAAGATTTTTCTTTTTTTTTTATTTATTAAGATAATAGATGTTTATTGTTTGAGGGTTTTTTTTGACTATGTATATGCACCACAAACTTTTAGTGGATATTTTTCCAGATATATTACCAAGCATAGTTTTACATGGTCTGGTCTTAGATGTAAACACAGAATTATTTTTAAGGATAAATAAGGTTTTTCTTTTTTCTTTTTCAGTATTGTTGTCCAGACATGATAAATAACTTTTTGGGACTGGCTACAACAGAATTTTCAAGTACAGCAAATAAAAACAAGACTGTCGATTCAGAGAAAGGAAAGTTGATTATGTTGGTTAATGACTTTTATTATGGAAAACATGAAGGAGATATCCAGGAAGAACAGAAGACTCACACGACCTTTAAATGCTTCAGTTGCTTGAAAATTCTTAAAAATAATATTAGGTATGTAAATACTTATTTGTATTTCTATCTGAAAATTGAAATGCTGCAAATACAAATATTGTGTCTTTATCTTGCATTTTTCTGTGCCATTCTAGATTTTAACACTTTGTACTACTAACAAAGGCAGGTTCTTTTGTTGAAAAGCTTTTTTCCTTGTATTTTCTAGTTGACTCCTGAATCTAGTTGTATTTCTTAAGATAACTTAAAGGATGAACATCATTTCGAAGCAAAATTAACTTCTTTTCCCTATGTAATCTGTGATCTAGGAATTTTTATGAGATAATTTTTATTTTTAGGTGCTTTTGAATTTATTTTTTTTAAGAACCACTTTGTTTTGTCCAGTTTGACCACCTCCATACTAATCTTATTTAATACTCAGAATTTTCCATTGACATGTATAGTTTTTAGAACATTCACTTTACAGAAAAAGTGATCTTCTATAGAGAAGTACCACTCTAGGAAGAATGTCTGCTTTGTTGTAAAATTTAACTGCTTTAAAAATTAGTGATTTAATTTCCATTCAAATTTTGAAAATTTTATACATGTATGCTTTAAATTTTAGAAATGCTTACTTGGTAATCTTTGAGTTACATGCCAAACTATAATAGTAGTTATTATAAATGAGTTAGTAACAAGACATACTGATTGATATTTTTTATTGGTTATATAGCTTTATGTGTATATTAGGTAAGGTATTTCCCACAATTTTATAAAATATTTTTAAAGATTCAGCAATGTTTTAAAAACTTCATAATGGTCAGGTGTATACTTATCACCTTAATTCTACCAGTAACACTTTACTGTAGTTCTCTTTGTCACATATCTATTCATCATTCCTTCAAACTATTCTTTTGTGTGTGCTTTTCAAAGTTGTAAACATTGTGTACTTGCCTTTGGTGAGGAAGGTATGTGTGTATGTCTTTATGTTTGTTTTGTTTATTTTTTTTAAAAGGTTGCCAGTTTTTTTTCTTTAACTTTATTTATCTTTAGAAGGTAAGGGAAGTAGAGAGAGAGAGAAATATCAATGTATGGTTGCTTCTAGTGCATCCCCTGCTGGGAACTGGCCCCTGCTAGGAACTGGCCTGCAACCCAGGCATGTGCCCTGACAGGGAATCGAACCATGATCCTTTAGTTTGCAGGCCCGTGCTCAGTCCACTGAGCTACATCAGCCAGGGCTTTTTATGTTTATTCTTGATAACTATCTACATTCTTAGGCATTAATAGATTACTTCCAGACCCAGTATTTATTTTATTTTCCTGTGAGTTCCTCTTGGGTTCAAAAAGAAACATATAGAATAATCCTGAAGTACACTATGCTATATTTCTGTATGTTGTTTATGGTAGCATCTTAATTCTCAAAATTCTTTCATGAGTTTTCACATTTATCTCCTTTTATCAAACTTTAATAGCCATCAGTAGATAATGGTTAAACAGAAGAGATTGTACTTTGTGTTATAACACTGAACAGTGTCACAGTAGAACTGTGTCACATATGTCCATATTCTTACCATTTTAGTAGTAAAATAAAACAGAAAAATTGTGTTAGTATATGTGGTAAATTGCATAGAAATATGGTTCACTGACTTAATTCCTTCTTATACCTCAATATTATGTATATTATGTTGGAAGTTGTTTCAGCAGTAGTTTTTTTAACTTGAAGATTAGCCCATTTAGTATTAAACATACGAAAATAAAACATTTCTTTTTTTGTTATCGTTTCAGAAGACTAGTTATATATTTCTAGAATATCAGAACATATAGGCATTTTAAGCAGTGAAATTTCATAACATCCAGGAATTGAGCATTTTTTGAAATACTGATTGCTTAGTTAACTATAAACTAGTGAAACACTTCATAATCAGAAGTTTATATGTTAAATAATATTTTGCCTTAATAGTAAAAAGTGGAAAGGCAAATTGATGTTTGTAGAGAATGGTACAAAGCTGATTGGTCTAGGTTTCCACTGTACCCAAGAACATGTGGTATGGTATTTTTTTTCCCTTTGTCTAGTGTCACCAAAAACACTTAGGTGTATTTTATTCTGTGAACATCCTTGCCAGAAGTTTGGGGGTTTTTTTGTTTCCCTTATTTACATCTGTTGTTTTAAGTAGTAGAGCACCTGATAGGAGCTCAACATAATAATTGAGAGAAAGCTTGCTAGTTAAAAGATTTTATATAGTAACACTTTAATTGCTTAAAGTTGTTAGCTGCAGTTTTAATGGTTCTTGGCCTTTTCTCTGTATGTAAGTACTTAGCCAAAATTAGGATTTTCTATACTTTTTTAAGAGCTGTTATTAAAATCAAAGGAGGACAAAATTTCAAGCCATGTCATAACCTGTTGTAAGAAAAGTAGTGTTGTGGGGGGGTGAAAAAAAGATAAGTGTGATGACCTTCATGATGGTTGCTATCCAGATTGATGACACTATCATTTTGTTTTACTTCCTTTAGGGACTCGGTGAATAGTTGTTAATAGTTGCCCTAGTCTAAAAAATGTTATTTTGGTTGAATACTTTCAAACAGCAAAGAACTCCAGTAAGCTCTTTTAAATAGGTATTCCCATTTATATCACACTCTTTGCTGTTGAAGGTCATAGTTCCTGTTCACAGGAAGCCTTTTAGGGAAGCTGAAATAGCAGAATGTAAAACTGAAAAATGGACGTTGCCTATAAAGGGCACAGTCTGCAAGTTAAAATGAACAGTCTGTGCTAACAGTAAACCAGTATCATTATAAAACAAAAGGTTCTTGTAATTTTAGGCATTAAAATTGCTATTACATGCATTTAGAAACCGAGACACAAGTAAAAATACCAGTAATTTGTTTTTTAAGCAGCTGGAATCTATTGTGTGTCTTCACAGCTTTAGAAGATTACTCTCATGATTCTGTAGCTGTTTTTGGTGGTAAGGTTTCCTTCCTTTCAATATTTTATTTAAAAATGTAAATAGTATTTCATGTATGGAAAAGAAGCCTGCTGTTTTACCTTCAGAAAACATTTTAATCTGAAATTATTAGAGTAGAACAAATTAGTGATATTTCCGATTAATTAATTAATGGGGAAAACGGTGTTTACTTGGCCACATAATGAAAGTGACTAAGGTGCACAGTTTTCTAGAGGAGTTTAAGGCTTTTGAGATTTTATTTTGAATACTATCTCTGTATTCTAAGATTCAGATATTTATTTATGAGATTTTTGTTTTTAAATCTGAATTTTGCACCTGTTGACAATAGGTTTATGAACCACATGAAACACCATTTGGAACTTGAGAAGCAGAGCAGTGAGAGCTGGGAAAACCACACCACCTGCCAGCACTGCTACCGCCAGTTTCCCACACCATTTCAACTGCAGTGTCACATTGAAAGTACACACACACCCCATGAATTTTCTAGTAAGTTGCAGTTTTACTTAAGTATTGAATATTATTGATTTTTGACAATATTCATTCTGAAAAAACCATAAGCCTATTAGAAAAATGAAAAAAAAACAAAAACACTGCAATTTGAGGGCAAAATCGAAAGTTACATTTTAACTAATATAAACTTTTAAATAAAATTAGTTACACAATTAAATTCACTCTTGTAAATAACTAAGGTAAATAACCTGTGCATTACATGTGTGGGGGGGGCTAAATTAGGAGCCTCAGATCATAGTTTTCAAATGTGAAATCAATGCGCATTATCTAAACTTGAGTAAGAAAAGTAACTGTGATGGTAGTTAAAAAGCATAGATTTTGGAGCTAGACCACTTGGATTCAAATTACAGCTCTGCCTCTTAATGCAGCTGTGTGATCTCAGGCAAGTTACTTAATATTTGCATAATGGAGATCTATGGTTCTTAATGTTGTTGTGGGAACTGAGTTAATGTAAGTAAAGTGCTTAGAACATAGTTAAAACTAACTGTTCACCATCACCACCAATTCTAGTGTTGTTACTGGTCTTGTTTAGAGATGCATAAAATGAATTTTATATATAAAATTTTGTTTGCCTCAAGAGGATACTTTATTTTAAAAATTTAAAAATTAAAAAAATTTTGAAGTATAATTGACATATAACATTAGATTAGTTTCAGGTGTACAACATGATTCAATGTCTGTGTGTATATATCTAGAAATGATGTAATGTCTTTCTCCCTCACACTTTTAGCCATTTGCAAAATCTGTGAATTATCATTTGAAACAGAGCATATTCTCTTACAACATATGAAGGACAATCATAAACCCGGTGAGATGCCATATATTTGCCAGGTATATACATATTTTATTGTGTACTTAGTGTGTTTTTTTGGTTTGTTTCTTGTCTGTCATTTTAGTTATAAGATTTAAATGTATTAGGTCAAGAATCAGCAGGGGTTTTTTTCTGTAAAGGAGCAGAGAGTAAATGTTTAGACTTTAAGGGTCATTACAGTCTCTGTTGCAATAAATCAACTCTGTCATTATAACACAAACTCAGCCATAGACAATTCATAAGTAAATTAATGAATTTGACTGTGTTTCAGTAAAGACTTATTTATGGACACTGAAATTTGAATTTCATATAATTTTCATGTGTCATGAAATATATTTTTTATTTTTCTAACCATTTAGATAAAATTGGTTACTAAAATTAAAATTCCTCTTATAAATAATTTATTAGTAGAAAGTCCTGTGATATAATTCATACACTGTATGTGGAGTCAGTGGATAGCTGGAATTGGCCGACAAGCCATTGTTTACCCACTACTATATTGGACAAAGAAAAGCCCTGTGGGAAAAAGACAAACATATGTATGAATTTATCTTACCATATAGGGAAGAATATAGGTATACAAGGAAATATGAAATGATTTTAGATACAGAGGACCCTACCAAATGCTTTGAGACTAGTATTTTACCAGACTTTGAAGGAATAGAAAAGCAAGGTAAAAATAAATTGCCATTGCTGTAGCCTGGAGACCATTTATAATCTAAAGGAAGATGCTGTTTTATACAGCAGAAAAAACTTTGTAGGACAAGAGTTGTCAGAGTGTGAAGATTCAAGTCAGGATAGGAGGTGATAGATCTAATAAAAAGAAGGGAATCTAGTTATATTTTGGGAAGTATTTCTAAACTTTGAAAGATAACTTTTCTGTCTCAAAGATTATCTTCCAGTGCTTGTATTATGAGATTCTTGGTTGTATAGGCATCAGAGCTGACTTAGTAGTACATCATGTTCTAAACAAATAATTTATTGTTACTTTGTAATTGTATATCATAATTTTTTAGTTAAACTAAACTTTCTTTTTATCTGTAGGTTTGCAATTATAGATCATCATCATTTTCTGATGTAGAAACTCATTTTAGAGCATCCCATGAAAACACTAAGAACTTGCTATGTCCATTTTGCCTCAAAGTTATTAAAATTGCAACACCCTATATGCATCATTATATGAAACATCAGGTGAGATTACCAGTTCTTATTTTTTCATGTTGTTTCAGCAAAAAGATACATTTTGACTTAGAGAAACATTGGTTAGATTTGTTCTATAGTAGGAGCAACATTGTTCCAAATGACATTATCAATATGCAGTTTGTGCTGATTTGCAATACTTCTGAAACTTCCACTTTGCCTTGCATTTTTTTCTAGTGATGTGTGGCTCATAAATGAAAATTCCAAAAGATAGCTAGAAATGGGAAACCTAGGGGTTGAAGGAAAAAAGGGAAGGTGAGTGGAATATCCAGAAGATCAGGTATTTCAGGGTCTAAGAATAAGTGTGGGGTTTTGAAGACAGGTTAACAGGAGTAAGGGAAAAGATGAATTTGAACTGAGAAGATCGAGGATTTAAAATCTGTTTTCCTCTTTCTCTTAGTACTTAATTCTACTTTCTAGCCCTTTTATCATGAGAAGACATGTTGTCATCATTGATGTGGTAAAGGAAACAGTAATAATGCTTATTGTTAAATATATGAACACTGCCCAAGAACTATATTTAGGTCATAACTTGTTTTGTTGATGACTTCTGTCAGTTCTGCTATGTAATTTTTGGGACCTAGCATTAGTGCTTATACCCTTCTCTTGAATTCTTATTTTTTGCTCATTGGTTCTTTCCTGAAGCAATTAAAGCATCATTTGTTTGGCCTGAAATCCTTGAGGCAACACTGAATCTGTTCTTTAGTGCTTAAAAGAGCACCAGTGCCTTTGCCAAACCCAGAAGTCAATGTATTTACTGAATCTCATGTAACCAAGTTGTGACACTTCACTAATCAGCTCATTACATTTTTTATTATTGATTAAATTGGCATGCCAGTTTATTCAGCATCAGTTCCTCAATTTGCTTTCAGTTTCAGTCATTAGATAATAATAAAATTGGCTTGTGTTTTTCAATTGGGAAAGATCATAAAAGTAGAATTTCCAAATGAATTTAGAATCACGTAAGTCGTGACTAGGATGCTACCCATCCTTGAGATGTTTTGTCAGAGTCTTTCTGTTCTAGAGTTCCTTAACAGTGTTCCATTAGGTGTTAACAGATGTTTCCCCCCAAATTGTTACTGGTAAATAAATTTGGTAAATGCCTAGATTGATAAAATTAAACAGTTTTGTCTCCTTTTTAAATTACAGGACTCCTCAGAGCTTGTAATATGCTAGTACATTATACTCTTCAGTAAGGGATGTCATTATGTATTATTCTCCAAACTTATTCGGCCACTGGATCTTTTATTTACAGAATACCTATTGACCTTTCTTGAAGAACAGAGTTTGGGAAACACTATTCTTGGTATCTATATTTCAACTTTGGCCTTTACTTTTGAAAGGGAAATGAGATATAAGACACTTAGTTCTATTTCATTATAGGGCTTTTCACAAACTTTTTTCATAGCTTTACTAAGCTCCAGAGTAAGATGCAGATGTGGGAAGAATGATAATTATGAAAGCAATGTGTGGGCCCACTATGTGGGCTATGTGATTTATAATAAGTTTTTATACTCTCAAGAAAATTGGATACCCAATTTTCTTTTTTGTTTTTTTGGAGTACTTATCTGGTAGATAGCCAACGGTAGAGAAGGGACAATCTGTTAACATGAAGGATCATCAGACATCCTTAAGGTAACTACAATTTATATAACTATTTACAAAGGACTGGACACACTTTAGCTGAGCAGGGTTATAATATTGTAATTGAGATAACACATTATTAGTGTGATATTAGACAGTATCACACTAATTGTTGACTTGTGGCTAATTTTATTGTCATAGAAGATTTGGGTTGTGACTTTTCTTTAAGAGCTTCTATTATTAAGTCTTGGGTTATTTTAGAAATAACCTAGTTTGTACAACTTTTTTAAGATAGTGAAAGTGATTTTGGATATGTTCAATATGCTCATTAGATCTTTAATAAAAACAAGCAGTTAAGATATATAATCACGTTTGGCAGCAGTAGGTACTTTTCATGCATTATCTTGTTTAATTCTTAGAATCACCCTATGTACATTATCATTTCCTTACAGATAAGGAAACAGTTTTAAAGAAAATGTCTTGCCCAAGGTCACATTACCTAATAAAAAGCAGAGTTAAAATTTGACTTCAGAGCCTAGCCTCTTGTTGCTCTACCACAGAGTCAGATTTTACATTTCGTATTAAGTCTATAAGGGCAGAAATTATATAGAATCAGAATTACCTTTATGTCTAAGTTCATCGTAGACACTTATTTATCCACCCTTGGAATAATCACTGTTTCTTTTTTTGAACATCACATTATTAAAATGTGTACTGTATCTTTATCAGCTGTAGCACATTGGATTGCATACATACACAAGAGAGATATTTAAGACTTGTCTCCAACTAAGGGAATAATAGATTAACATATTCTATCTCAGGATTCTGGACAAATGTGCACTGAATGGAATGTCAGACATTTTGAATTTGTTAAATTATATCTGCTGTTCATATGCATTTTCTCTGTCAGTCTCTCGCTTTCTGCCTCCCTGTCCATTTATTTAACAGATGTTTATCAGTTGCTTTACTGTGTGCTGGGGCCATTTTATAGCAATGAATAAGACAGAGTTTGTACCCTCTGGAATTTGGATTATAGTGGAAAAAGATAATATATGTGTGTTTATATTTGAATGTATATGCATGCTAGCTGTTGATAGGTATTATGGAAGGCAACATAGTGGATAGGGAGTGCTGAGGTGTTGGGAGTGGAGGAGAGGTTGCTGTTTTGTATAGAGAGTGGTCAAATAAAGGCCTCTTTGAAGGGAATAAAAGGAATAAGCCATGTGGAAATCTAGGAGAGGTAACATTATCTAAACAGTGATGTGAGTATATACCTAGGACACTCTGAACAACAAAAGAGACCAGATGTGGCTAGAGCAGACTAAACTTCGAAGAGGACCAGTAGAAGATAAGATTGTAGCAGTAGAATGCAGGCCAGTTCATGTAGAAACTTGTAAACCAGATCAGGACTTTAGAAAGGCCTCAGAGGATTATAAGCACATGAAAGATCTGCCATGTTTTAATATCATTGGCAACTATGGGAAGAATAGACTATAGGGAAGAAAGAACATGACAGGGAGAAGATAGGAAGTTATTACAGCAGTCTAGGTGAGTGGCTTAGACCAATGTGGCAGTGGTTGAGGTAATGAAAAGTGGAAAGATTATGAGAGTTTTGAAGGTGAAGCCAACAGTTTTTTAAAAATATATTTTATTGATTATGCTATTACAGTTGTCCCATTCCCCCCCTTCATTCTCCTCTACCCTGCATACTCTGTCCCACCCACATTCCCCCCTTTAGTTCATGTCCATGTGTCTTAAGTTCTTTAGCTTTTACATTTCTCATACTATTCCTGCCCTCCCCCTGTCTATTTTCTACCTACCATCTGTGCTACTTATTCTCTCTACCTGTTCCCCCTCTGTCCTCCTCCCACTCCTCTGTTGCTATCCCTCCATGTGATGTCCATTTCTGTGGTTCTGTTCCTGTTCTAGTTGTTTGCTTAGTTTGTTTTTGTTTTAGGTGTAGTTGTTAATAAGTGTGAGTTTGCTGTCATTTTACTAGACATGTTTTTTATCTTTTTCTTAGATAAGTCCCTTTAACATTTCATATAAGAAAGGCTTGGTGATGATGAACTCCTTTAACTTGACCTTATCTGAGATGCACTTTATCTGCCCTTCCATTCTAAATGAAAGCTTTGCTGGATAGAGCAATCTTGGATGTAGGTCTTTGGATTTCATGACTTGGAATATTTCTTTCCAGCCCCTTCTTGCCTATAAGGTGTCTTTTGGGAAATCAGCTGACAGTCTGATGGGAACTCCTTTGTAGGTGACTGTCTCCTTATCTCTTGCTGCTTCTAGGATTCTCTTCTTCATTTTAATCTTGGCTAATGTAATTATGATGTGCCTTGGTGTGTTTCTTCTTGGGTCCAACTTCTTTGGGACTCTCTGAGCTTCCTGGATATCCTGGAAGTCTATTTCCTTTGCCAGATTGAGAAAGTTCTCCTTTATTATTTGTTCAAATAAGTTTTCCCTTTTTTGCTGTTCCTCTTCCCCTTCTGGTACCCCTATAATTTGGATGTTGGAACATTTAAAGATGTCCTGGAGGTTCCTAAGACTCTCCTCAATTTTTTTTTGAGTTCTTCTTCATTCTTTTCTGTTTGGTCATTTTTTTCTTACTTCTGGTCCACTCCATTGATTTGAGTCCCAATTTTTTCCCCCATCACTATTGGTTCCCTGTGCATTTTCCTTCATTTCACTTAGTGTAGCCTTCATTTTTTCATCCAATTTGTGACCAAATTCAACCAATTTTGTGATCATACTGCTCACCAGTACTTTGAACTGTACATGTGATAGGTTGGCTGTTTCTTGGTCACTTAATTGTATTTCTGAAGCTTTGATCTGTTCTTCCTTTTCTGCCATTTTTTTTTTTTTTTTGGTTTTGTCACACCAGTTATGTAGTAAGGGGCAGAGCCTTAGATGTTCACCAGGGTGGGTCAACCCAGTTACTGGGTTGTGACACTGTATGTGGGGGTGGGGTCTGAGAGGGTACAGTGGCACTTGATCTGCTCTCTGTTGGGCCTCAGTCCCTTCTGCCACTTCTCTCTAGCAAACTGGGCTTTCTGGTGCTGATTCCTTTGTGGGCTTGTGTGCATTCTAGGACCCTGTGGGTCTCTAGTGAACTCTCCTGTGAGACTGGGAGTTTCTCCCTGCGCCTCAACCCCCACAGGTATTTTCAGTCAGTGTTTTGAGGCTTTATTTCCCAGCTCCGGGACCCTGGGTTGTGCTGTCTGTCTCACTCCTGAGATATCTGCAGGTGAATGTGGGACTGCCGCCTGGTCAGCCTTGTGCATGGTGCCCTGCTTCTCAGTTGCTGCCTCACTGGGTCTGTCCATTGTCACCCCGTGCTCTGGGTCTGCCAACCACTGCTTGCGCGCCCAGGCACTGCCCACTCCTGTCTTGCATGCCCGGGGTGCCTTGCGGGCCTGGTGTCATTGCTTCCTATGCCTCGACCCCTCTCTGCTCTGCTGCCTGACTCCACCCTGCCTACTGGTCTGGATGAATGTGTCTATTTCAGCTCCTTGGCTGCCTGACTTCCATACAGTTCAATTTTCTGTCAGTTCTGGTTGTTATTTTGTTTCTGAATTTTTGTTGTCCTTATTTTGGTTGTGCAAGGAGGCACAGTGTATCTACCTACACCTCCATCTTGGCCAGAAGTCTCTGTCAACAGATTTTGTTAATGGATTTGGTTTGGGGTGTGAGAGAAAGTGACCAAGTTTTTGACCTATGAATGGAGTTTTGATAACACTGTCTGTCATATGGGGAAGACTGAGGAAAGAACAAATTTGGGGGACAGGGATATAGGGAGGAAATCTAGAATTCAGTTTTGTTTATGTTGATTTGAGATGTTTATTAGACATCATGTAGTGATGTCAAGTAAGCAGTTGGATGGATGGTATTAAAGCTGTGAAACTGGATGAGGTAACCTATATAGAGAGAAAAGATTTCTGGGAACTGGATTCTGGAGAACTTTCTTTCTGGTATGTTGTCTTAGTATGTGTTTTATGGCCAGGTTTTCTCTTTTACCTCCTCTTCCTTGAGCCAAATAATAAGTGAATTTCTTTAAGTTGCTTATACCTATGGTATATATAATCCAATGCACCACACTTTTAAAATAGTCTTAATATGCAGCTTGAATAATACAAACACATTCTATTTATACTCATATGTTGCTTTGAACTTTTTAAAGAACTTATGAAATGCTTACTGTGTACCAGTAATCATGCTAAGTACTTCTTGGTATATTATCTAATTTGAATTTTATAAATGATTAATTAGCCCTGGGTGGTGTGACTCAGTGGATTGAGCATGGGCCTGTGAACCAAACAACTGCAGTTTGATTCCCAGTCAGGGCACATGCGTGGGTTGCGGGCCAGTTTTCAGTAGGGGACTCATGAGAGGCAACCACACATTGATGTTTCTGTCTATCTCTCTTCTTCCCCTCTAAAGATAAATAAATAAAATCTTTTAAAAAATGATTAATTATACTTAAATGGTAACAGGGATTTATCTGGCAGATTGCAACTTTAGAGAAAACATTCTTTTATATTTTGTTTATATGTATGTATATATACATATATAATTTTGTGTATATATACACAATTTTTAATGAGACCATATAGGTAAAGATTATAGCTGATATTATGTAGTAGAAAGAACACTAGATTGGGAATCTGGCAGTGTTACTAAGTAGCTATGGGGAAATGATTTAGATTTTTCTTGGGTCATGTTTCCTATCTATGGAATAACAACAGGATTGAGTTTGAGGAGGGACTCACTCAATCAAGGTTCTCAATAAGTAAGTATATTGGGAATAATTATTTTGATTTATCCCTCTATATTCGCACTGTCCAGTGTAGTAGCCATTAACCACGTGTGGCTTTAAAATTAAATAAATTGAAAATTCAGTTCCTTCACTGGCTGGTGTGACTCAGTGGATTGAGCACCAGCCTGCAAACCGAAGGGTTGCTGGTTCCATTCCCAGTCAGGGCACATGCCTGGTTGCAGGTCAGGTCCCCAGTTAGGGATATGTGAGAGGCAACCACATATTTATATTTCTCTTCTCTTCCTTCTGCTTTCTCTGAAAATAAATAAATAAAATCTTTAAAAAAAAAATTCAGTTCCTCAGATATACTTGGCACATTTCAGGTACTCAGTAACCACCTATGGCTAATGGCTACTACATTGGAAAGTGTGGCTCTGGAACATTTTCATGAGTGCAGAAAGTTTTATTAGACAGCACTGCTTTATATAACCATTTTTTCTTTCTTTTTAATATAACCATTTCTATAACAACTTTCTTTGAAATGTCTCGTTATTTGAATTTCCTTTACCAACTTTAAACCAATCGGTGAGAGCAAAATTTAAAAAAAATACTTTTTTTATATGATAAAAACATGTAGCATAGCTTATTTTCACAGTATTGTGTGTCTAAATATTTTTAAATTATAATTAAAGGGGCTTTCATACCACTATTAAGAGAACTTTAATTAGAACCTATTGCTACAACTTTTATGTTCAATTTCTTTATAGTAGCAGACATTTTTGAAACCCAAATACTAGTGCAAAGAATGCTTTAAAAATGAAATAATAGTTTGCTGATATTTAGGATGTGAGATATAAAGTACTATTTTGAGAATTGCTTAGGCATTAAAATTAAGCCAGAGCGGTTTTAGGACACAGGATTTGTGGTTGAAAAAATGATTTTTCCTCTTTACTGTTTCTAAACAGAAAAAAGGAATACATCGTTGTACAAAATGCAGACTGCAATTTTTGACATGCAAAGAGAAAATGGATCACAAGACTCAGCATCATCGAACATTTATAAAACCTAAACAGCTAGAAGGATTACCTCCAGGAACAAAAGTGAGTTCAGATATGTTGCACTTTAACATTTGGTATGATAATAGAAATTATCTTTGCCTGATTTTATCTCCTGAATGTAATACTTTAAAACATGATTTCTGATTTTTATTAAGACTCTGATTTCAAGTTTTATGATTCTTATGTTTAGAAAAAATCTAACCATTGGTTTTTTTAGTTGGCAATTTGTGCTATGCTGAAATGATGCTCCTTTGTAAAGAGTGCAACTAGATGTTGTGTTTCCTGGACAAATGGGTTGTGTCAATATTATATAATCTATTTTGAAGTGTTCTTGGCAGTGTCTGTATCAAATGTATCTGCTAAGCTGTTTGAAATCAGGAATCATGACTTATTTATCTTCGTGTCCTCAGCATCTGGTGTAGTGTTTTAAATGCCATAGCTTCTTAGGTGTTTATCAAAGTTGTTATTGCCGAGTCTGCTCTCAGAGAAACGAGTTCTGCTGCTGGATAGCATTTGTGTATTAAGTGAGCAAACACATGTCTGACTACATAGTGATGATTGTAATTTACCCTCTGTTTTTTCTGACTTCTTTATATACAGTCAGCTCTTGAATATTTGTTCCAGTGGAGGGAAACAGAGGCATGGATAATCCAAAGTGAAATAATCCCCAAAACATTTATATTTGGCTTTGGGTACTTACCTTTGAATGTGGGTATGTCTGTTATTTGAATTAATTAAACAATAGAAAGCAGTGCTCTGAAGACCTTAGAGCAAGAGAAGCTATCCAGCATCCTTCCCTGCAACCCATTCATTCCATGCTGGGACTAGACATGCATAACACGAATGTAAGCAGTGCAGCCCTCTCTCATATTTTCCTTTATTAATTATAATAGTAATACTATTAATAATAATGATACTAAATGTTTTTATGACACCTTAGAATTAGGCCTTCAGTGTACTTTTTCTTAGGTACTATTATTTCATTCATATAGCAATCTGGTGAGTCAGACAATGCAGATAGTGTCTCACACTATAGATAAAGAAGCTCAAAGAGTATAACTTACTTATTCTAGGCCACATGGCTAGGAACAAGTAGTATGAGATTTAACTTCAAGTCTTTTGATTCCTACTCCAGTGTTCCAAAACATGTTTTTAGGACTTCCTATAGGTTGTTTCTAATGTACATGGGGGAAGAATAGTTATATGATCAACAGGAAATGGTGGGAGCTGTTTGTGTTTTCCATCATCAACTGATTAATATAATTTTGAATACTAAATCATAAACTTTATATTAATTCTCTTTAAGGAAATTCTAGATATTATAAATTGTTCATGAAGTATATTGATATAATCTCTCCCATACCTTTGTAAATATAAATTCTGCTAAATGAGTTACCTAAAAAGAGGAGGTCACATTTACTATGGGTAATGCAGGGCAAAGGGTAATGCAGGCCTTTGTAGAGTTACTTTTTGGGTTTGAGATCTAAATTTTGACCTCTATGTGATATTTTTTAGTTATATCAGGACATAGAAATAGCTATGGAATGTGCTCTTTAATATTCATGTAATTCCTAATTATCCATTAATAACAACATATAACTGATTTTAATACAAATATATATTACAAGTAAGTAAATATCACATTTAATTTTATTTAAACATTTAAAAGAAATGGAATACTTATCCAATCACTTACTCTTTTTAGAATACTTGATATTTAATTTTTATATTTTAATATTTAATCTTTTATATTTTTATACTTTTTTCAGAATACTTGATATTTCATTTTTTGTCATAAAGTGATATTTTAATACTAATACAAGGATTAATTTTCTAAAGTAAATATTATCTTTATTTGTAGGTTACTATTCGAGCTTCAGTTGGACCTCTTCAGTCAGGATCTTCAACTACACCTTCCATTAGTGCAAACACTTCTACCCTTCAGGTCTCGCCTCCAAGGACAAAAAGTGTAACTGCTAAAAATCCCACAAAATCTAACACAAGTAAACTTAATACAACTAAATCTAATGCAAGTAAACCTAACTCAAGTAAGCCTAATGGAAGTAAATCTAAATTCAAATCAAAAATCTCTAATATGCAAAAAAAACAAAGCACTTTGTCTAGTAGCAATAGAAAAAGTAAAGTCAATACAGCTTTGAGGAACTTAAGGTAATCTTTTATTCCTGATATACAATACTAACATAATCTTAAATATAAGAATTAAACCTTTATTTAATATAAGTATATTCTACTATACTACTGTTTCATACATTTATATGCTGTCATGATAAATGCCAAGCAATAAAAGTATTTTTACTACTGCTGTTGAACACTACTTAACTACCATGTTTTTCCTATAATATTCATATATTACACTGGTTATTATATGTTGTGCTTATTATATCTTATGGCATTTGAATTGGTTAATTTTATTCCACTGACGAGCATTAATTATTGGGAGATTGTTTATACTTAATCTAGCTGTTGCATAGCAAATTTTTTAAAAGATTTTTCAATTTATTTTTAGAGAGAGGGGAAGAGAGGGAGAGAGGGAGGAAGAGAAACATCAATGTGTGGTTGCCTCTCACACACCCCCTATGGGGCACCTGGCCAGCAACCCAGGCATGTGGCCTGCCTGGGAATCGAACCAACAATGCTTTGGTTCACAGGCCTGCACTCACCCCATTGATCCATATCAGCCAGGGCTGTTCATAGCAAATTTTAAAGTTATAAGTCTGTGTCTACATATGTTAATTTAAACAACATGACTTTAATTAACAGAGCTTTAATAAGGCTTTCCTTGCTTATTTTTGTATTAAAATAAAACAAAAATTTTATCATTTTCTTTTTTTTTATCTCCATAAGGTATCGTCGGGGAGTTCACAAGTGCATTGAGTGTTGTTCTGAAATAAAAGATTTTGCAAACCACTTTCCTACATATGTCCACTGTAGTTTCTGCAGATATAACACTAGCTGTAGCAAAGCCTATGTAAATCATATGATGAGGTAAGATGAGTTAAACATTTGTAATTATCAATTGAATTATAATTCAGCAAGTTTGGTTTCTCAAAACAGTTATCCTATTAGAAGTCAATTTTTTTCCTCAAGGAACTAAAAACATTTCGCAGTAGAGAATTTCTAGGAGAATGCTGGTTACTATTTTCCAGCAAAATAACTCATACAATTACTGTAACTAGAATTATAAGAGCATTTAGACTAAAGAAATAAGAATAGGTCTGTTAGGGAAATAGATTTCCTATGGGAATTATTTTTCCTATGGAATTTTCAAAATTGGTTACTTTTAAAGATAAGAATTTAAATGCTTTAAAGATATTTACCAAACACATGCAGTCTCATGAGTGTTACTCTTCAAAGCAGTCACTTTGAGAGACTGGGATTTTCAGTGGTGCTAGGAACTTATTTCGAGTCTTTTTCTCCCTCTCTTTTTCCATCTGTCTATCAAGCTATTTATCCTTGCATTTAGTCACTAAAATAAAAGACTATTCTTGTTAAAATGCCATTGTTGAAATATCTTTCATTGATTCACTCAGCTTAGATTATTTGAGTGCCTAGTATTGATTCTATGCAGAGAAAGCCTTCACAGCCCACTTTACTTTCATTTGTACCTGATTAGTAGAAGCATCTTTCAGGGTGCATTTCCGATTTTAAAAAATAAATAGTAAAAATATCATTTATATATAAACTGGGTTGATTATTCAAAGTGAGGCAGTTTCCTTAGTTTTAAAGTTAGAATTAAAGTTTAATAAAAGTGATCTTCTCATGGATCATAACATGACCTTATTGTTACCTTCTGGTCATTATCAGCTACTCCTTTCAAGGATTCTCCCACTTTTTAATGTATTATTTTTTAATTAAAATTATTTCATTGTTATTCATTTACAGTTGTTTTTATTTTCTCTCCACCCTGTCCAAACCCACCTCCTCCTTTGCTTCTACCCTCCCCCTTGCTTTTGTCTGTGTGTCCTTTATAGTAGTTCCTAAAAATGCTTATCCCACCTTTCTTGATGGGTTCAGTACCTCTCCCACAGTTTTCCCACCTTGATTTAGCCTAACTTACAGTACCTTGACTTCTTTGATGCCCACATTTCACATTAACTTTTGTTATTGTACCCCCTTTCTTACCGTGTACCATTTTCATCTTATCATGTACACTGTTTCTTTCTTTTGAATTCCTACTTCCTATCACTTTCAGGGCTTTGAGTCCTTTCTAAAGTTCAGCAGAGCTTGTCTACCTTTATAGTCAACCTCACCCTCAGGGTCATCTGTTTGGATTGCCCCTTTGTTGTTGTTGTTGTTATAGAATCTGTCACCTTTAGTCATGCTCACCAGGCACACAGGCCAAGATGAGACTTGAATGTCTTCCTCTTCCAGACTTTATGCTCAGCTCTAGACTACCAAAACGGTACTTGATTCAGTCACCTCTCACTTTAACTTTGTGATCTTTAACTTTACTTGGGTCATACCTCTTTATGTACAGTACCTATTTAAACCTTCTTTAGTATGCTAAAGGTTTTATTGTATTTTAATGTTAGTTCTTAATGTGGTCTACAAATTATTCAGTAGGAGGTTATCCTTTTAATCAATCTTTTCAACATCAGTATTTTTCCTGCTACCTTCATCTAGACAGTGATCTCAGAAGTCAGTGATGCTCCACTCAAATAAAGTTAACTCTGTCTCTTATCTTCTCTAGTTCTTCCACAAACTTATTCAGTTAACTTGCTACTTCATTGCTCCCCTCAACCAGGTTTCTTTTGCTTACAAACGTTTTCAGGCATTTTTTTAAGATGAAGGAGATTTGTCCCTACTACCTACTTTATTTCTTGTCTTTTTCTTACCATCTTACATTTGTAAAAAGTTTATTACTAGCTTATTTGTGATTTAGTTCTTTATCCATAAATTTGAGTGTCATCCCTATTTGCCAACAAACCCCTACCGCTTTAAAGATTGTCTGTCAAGTACTTATGCACCACATTTATTCATTTTTTAGAATTCTTACTACTCCATGACTTCAGCGTTTTGATATTGTTGTCACTCACTTTTGAAACCATTCTCCTCAGCTTCTGTTGAATTGTTACCACAATTTTTCTTCCTTTTTGAGTGCTTCTCTGTTTCATTGCCTTTTCTTCCTTCAAAATTTCTTACCTCTTTATATTTTCTTTGCTGGTAACTTAACCTCAAAAGGTACACTTTTACCTTTCACAGAGAGAGAGATTTGTTGTTCCACTTATCTAGGCATTCATTGGTTGATTCTTGTATGTGCCCTGACTGGGGATCAAACCTGCCACCTTGGCACACGGGACAACATTCTAACCAACTGAGCTACCTGGCCATGGCACCATTTATTTATTAATTACCTTTATGATTTGGGCAAGTTACTTGACTCCTAGTTTTCGTTTTTTGAAAAGAAAGTTACTGTGATTATTACAGAAAATTTTAAATTAAAATGATTAATAATATGATTTGTACTTAGGAGGCATTCAAGTAATTATATCTTATATTTTTTTCTAAGTTGTCAATTATAGGTATTGTGGATAAAGTCCTTGCCTTTGATTTTCACAATTTAGTAGGAGAGATATATTTACCTAGCTTAATGTTATAAACAAATGACCATGAGAGCACAGAGGAGGTTAAAATGAGTTTTTTAAAGAAGAAATCAGGGAAGGTGTCCTATAAATAATATTTCATTTAGGTTTAGAAGGGTGACTTTTAAAATTTCCAAGGAAAAAATGTTGTTATAATTATTCCTGTGAAATAAATAAGAAAGAGTACTGGACTTTTAAAGATATGCTTGAGTTTATTGTATATTTTATGTGGATTTGTTGGCTCTAAATACTAATAACTAGAAGGACAGTTGGCTAATTGTGATAGTATCCTAGCTGGTCTCTTTCTGTAGGTCCCACCTACCCGCCTTTTTCCAGTCTTTCTTATGTTGCTTGAGTAGGCATATTCAGTCAGGTCACTTTTTTTAGCCTAACATCCTTTACCTTCCTAATTTTAATAGGATGAGGTTCAAATTTTCTAGGAATGTAAGACCTTTTAATATCTAATTTCTAACTACTTTTTCAATCCCTTTAACTCCTATTTTCTTGAAAATTCCTCTCTTGACCTCTTTGTTGCAAGGCAGTAGGGAGCTTCTTAACTGAAATGAACTAATTGATAGCTTGCTTCTTCTGTACCTGAAAGTGCAGGACTTTTTATGTGTCACTATTGGTGTTTAGCTTGTGATAATTATTTATGAGTATGTATTCACTCATTTAACAAATATTTATTAGGCATTTATTTTGTGCCAGCTTCTGTTTGATTCCTTCCATCCCCAGATCGAAATCTGAACTCAAAAGCAGTTTGCCTTCTTTCCCATTGTATTGGGTTGGCTAAAAAGTTAATTTAGTTTTTTCCATAAACTAAAAGACATATTTTTCATTTTCACCAGTAAATGTATTGATTTGGATATTTTGAGTATGTGTGCTATCTCTCATGTGGTATAATGTTGATTATTTTCAATTAATGTCTGGATTTGATTGCTGTCAACTTCAACTGGTCTACCCGACCATGCAGCATCGTCCAGTACGAAACCTCACAAACCACTTTTGACACATTTGATCAGTCACAGCACCTTCTCTATACACTTGCACAATTTTTTTGCATTTCAATTGCATGTTTACATTTCTTGAAATAATAAAGCATAATATGCAAAAATGTATTTTCTTTCATCTTCAATATTAAAATAGCTACACAAAAATTCACCAATTTTGATAAGATTTTTGTCCATCAGCTATCACGATAAAATCTTATAGAATTGTTTCAAATAAAGTTAAAGACAAAGTGCTAATAGAGCCATCTTACAGAAAAAAAACAAATGAACTTTTTGGCAACCCAATATCATTAGCCTCTAATCTAGTGTCTTTAAATATAGTAGGTATACCATCTACAGTGTTGTATTTTTAGGAAGTTTTTCCTTTCGTATTTCTTTGGAAGTAAAATGGTTACACTGAATAAAATCATTATTAAGAAAATACAAAGGGAGTTTTTTCCCTGTAGTTTTATTGAGGTATAATTTATACACAGTAAAATTTACCTGTTTTTAGGGAAGAGCTTAATGAGTTTGGATAATTACATAGTCATATAACCAGGTAGAGAATTTTTAAAACCTAGATTTTAATATTATGTTTTCACTATATTGTAATAAAAATCCTAACCTTTTCCCTCTTTAAATTTATTCCTATATTGTTAACTTCATATAGAGCTATTTGGAAGAAGGGTAGTTTTTATTTGTTAGCAAGAGATTCATTCCTAAAATACAGAAAACCATAAGTGTGTAATTTGTATGTAAATACAAATAAAGAAGCAATATAAGTTCTTTTTATTCTCACCTGAGGATATGTTTATTGATTTTAGATAGGGGTGGGGGAGAGAGAAACATGAGTCGGTTGCCTCCTGTATGTGCCTCAACTAGGGCTGGAACCACAGCCTAGGCACATGCCCTGTCAGAGAATCGAACATGCAACCTTTTGTTGTATGGGATGACATTCCAATCAACTCAACCACCTGACCAGGGCTAAGTCTTTTTTAATAGATAGGGAACTCAATTAAAACTGGATTCAGACGATTTAAATTTTAAAAGTACCAATGTTTTAATAAGGTACAAGTTATAGACAGAAATGGAAGCCATCATAAAGGCCCTAAAATATAAATATTTTCTTCTATTCTCTTACTAAATAGATAAATGAACCAAAACAGTCTGAGTTTAAGAAAAGAAATAGGGTGTTTTTTTTTAAATAACTTAACTTTGGTTCACATTCTTTGGCAGTCAGATAAAATTTGGGACTCACTCCACTGAGGAAATGCAGTTGTGTACATAAATTTTTGCATATAATTTCAGTGTTTACCACCCCTGTGATGTTTTCTTCCAAAAATACTATTTAATTATTTTTGTGGCAACATCTTGAATTTATAAGCTCTTGAGTGGAAGTTATCCCCTGATTGAAGAAATGACTATTAGGAATTTTCTGAAGATATTTTCTGGGGATTATACTCAGTCAGTCATTTCTTTTCTCACACATACATGCTGTACTGGTAATAGTTACCTTATATCTGAGAATGACCTGGTTAGTTGGCTACTCCAGAGCTGAGGGTGTTATCTATGCAATCTAGGGTTACTGCTTCTCCAATTTTAGCTTGCATAAGAATTACTGAAAAAGCTTGTTAAAAGACATTTCTGGGCCCCAGTGCCAGAGATTAATTCAATAGGATTGAGGGAGGACACAAGATTTTGCTTTTCTAAATGAGCTCCCAGCATTTAAAATGCTGATTTTAAATCCATGGCTCCACTTTTATATTGTGTTAGACTAATGCTGTCTTTGTAGTATAGGGAAATATTCCTTACCAGATTTAAAAGGCTATATAAAAGCTACAGCTGGTTACTAAGCTGCATTAGTGGTTCTGCTCTATTTTTTTTAATTACCTCTACTACAATTGCAAAGAACTCTCTAAATGTTTGATTTTATAGATGGTAAACAGTGGCATTGAGCTCGAGTACTATTTACTTCTAAAATCATTTAGATTCTATCCCTCTTCCCCCACATGAACACGTTAAGATTGGAAAATGATTTTTAAAACATTGTTCTTTTTTTTTTTTTTTATCCTCACCTGAGTATATGTTTTTATTGATTTTGGAGAGAGAGGAAAGGAGAGAGAAGAACATCAATCAGTTGACTCCTGTATGCACTCCAACCAGGGATCCAACTTGCAACCTAGGTGTGAGCCCTGACTGAGAATCAAACCCGCAACCTTCGTGGTATACGGGATGACGCTCCAACCAACTGAGCCATCCTGCCAGGGCATAATGATTATTCTTGATAATTGTTCATATTATAGCAAAAATATTAGCAAAAAAAATTAAAATTATTTTCAACTCTTAATGGATACTAAATTAACTTGTGCTTTATTTTCTAATAAAACTTTATTTCCTTTTATGCAACAATGAGATTACATTAGAAAATAAATAGGTAAAATAATATATTGAATTACACAGGGATGACAGACATTTAATTTGTATCATGATCTTTTAATCAAAACTAGAAAGGACTTGAAATACAGCTATAAGTTAGTATGATTATTGTAGAATAAAATTAATAGAATCTGTTTTGTCTCTCCAGCTTTCACAGTAACCGTCCAAGTAAAAGGTTTTGTATTTTTAAGAAGCATTCAGAAAATCTCAGGTAATTAATTGATTTTTTAAGTCTTTCTGTTGAAAAATGGTATGACTTAAATTTTTTAATATATTATCCTTAATGAGATATAGTCCATATACCATGCAGTTCACACACTTAAATTGTACAGTTGGTAGTTTTTAGTATATCACTGAGTTGTGCAGGCACCACCACAGTTAAAATTAGTACATTGTCATCAGTCCAAAAAGAAACTTGTACCCATTTGGTCATCCCCATTTCCTTCCCACTCCCCCATCCCTAAGTAACAACTAATCTTCTGTTTGTCTGTATAGATCTGCCTATTCTGGACATTTCATATAAATAGAGTTATATGTGATCCTTTGTGATTGGCTTCATCTGTTTAGTATGTTTTCCACATCATCTGTGCTGTAGCATAGATCAGTACTTCATTTTTTTGTTGCTAAATAATATTCCATTGTATGGCTATACCATAGTCTTGTTATCCAGTAGGTTATTTTAATTTTGAGGCCATTATAAATAATGCTGCTATGAACATTTCTATACAAGTTTTTGTCCAAGCATGTCTTATATGTTAACTGTGTTGAGCCTTTGAAAATCTTCCAGGCTGTTTTACAAAATACCTCAAATATTTTACATTTTTACTGGCAGATCCAGTTTCTCCACATCTTTGCCTACATTTGTTACTGTCTCTTTTTGATTATAGCTACCCTAGTAGGTGTGAAGTGGTAACTCATTGTGGTTTGTTATAACTTTTTTTTATAACCTGGTGTTGGGATGTCCAATTTGGAAATCTAAGTAATTGCTATTGGATATAACATATTGATAGTTTCATTCATTGTATCCTTAGATTACTGGTATGACTAGCCTATATTCTCTTGCTAAATTTGTTTCAGTGGTACAAAGTGATGTCAGTATGACATCATCATGCATTTAGGTTGTAAAATGAGAACAAAAATTTTAAATTGTATCCTTTCCCCTGTACTTTACTCCAGCACTCCTCTTTTTCATTTGTTTAATTTTTCTCTAGATCATCTTTCCTCATCTGATATACTGTATACTTCACCTTTTTTTTTTAATTTTATGTGTCCTCTTACTAGAATGTGTGGAATGGATTTTTGTCTACATCAAGCATTGATTAGTGCATTCAGTAACTGTTTGTTGAATAAATTAAAGTGTGTGTTGAAAATCATTTATGTGGATAGTAGGTCCCATCTATGATTTTGGACCAGTGGGTCACAGGGAAATAAAATTTGATTGAATTTAGAAAGTATTTTAGGGATAATATTAAAACATTTACTGAATTTGGTGAAATGGAGTAAACTATTTGATGTTGCCGATATTAAGTTTTATAAGAATTAAAAGAGTTTTGCATTCAAAAGATAAGATTTTAGTTTGACATTTTTTGGAGGGGTGATTTTTATCTCACTGTTGTCAAACTTAACTATGTTCTGTTTTAAAGTGAGTTACATTTTAAAATCTGAGGTTTTTCTCAACTTGAATACATACTAAGTTAAAAATTGGTCAATTCTGTGAATGGAATATAGCATACTTACAATTGTATAGAACAGTAGTTCTTGTAATTACTCCTTTATTGAAAAGGATTATTCATTATTTAGCCCAGTATTATGCAGCTGTCATGTACATAGTGTACAGCTCCTGTAGAGATGAAAGTGGTGAAGTCTTAGAACCAATCTTCAGGTAATGTGCACTTTATTATGTGGGAGATACAGGCGAACTTAAATAACTGATAGTGCAAGGAAGATTTTAATAAGTGCAATGGAGGTTATTTATTTCAAAGGGAGAGATTACTTGGAATAATCCAGATAGGTGTTATATTTGATTTTAAAGCATGACTATTGTTTATACTAATTGATAGAAGAGACAGCAGCTTCTCTCAGCAACTTTCAAGTTGGAAGAAATAGCATGAATAAAGGTACAGAAATGAAAAAATGAAAGGCATACAGATGGAATAGCTAGTAGTAAATGAGTGGAGCGTGGAGTTTATATAGTAAGTTTGAAATCTGGGGCAATAGTTTTGAGCTTAGAGATAAAAAATAATAAGGCTAAGGAGTTTAGGCTTAATTTGGAGGGCACAGGAGAACCTTTGATGTTTTATATAAAGTCAGGTGATACAGAAGGAAGGTTGAATTGAAGATATCCTTCTTCTCACCTTCGACAGTAGTGCGAGTTACAGATGCATGAATTTCAAAAGTGTATATATGCTTTGTTAAATTGACAGTAACGGTGATAGCATTACATGATTCTTTTTCACCTAAGAAAAAACAATATATTAGCAGGATTTTAAAGAATCTCATGGACCCGTAAAAGCAGGAGGTACAGCCAGAACAAACAAGGGAAACAGGAAGCCATTAGCTACTGACATGGCTTCTCTCTAGTCTAACCTGCTAAAGCAGGATGATCTTGTCTTTATTATTTTCTCTGGACTTGGGTTCCATTCTCCTTTCTCTGTGCCCACCAGCATTCTCTATTGATGACCCAAATATAGTATTCAGCCTTCTACATTTTTCTAGATCAAGAAATTTTATTATAAATCCCAACTACAAATCCCTGTTTAGAAAAGGCTTGATTTGGGCATTCTACCCCTGTCCAATTAACTATATCCAGTAGAACAGGCATTTAGCTCCTCCTTACCATTGAGACCACTTTGAATGTCTATGAGGGCAATTTGTTAATGGATTACACTACGTAGTTAATCATTAAAGTTAAGTATTTATATCTTAACTTTCCTTAAGTTTTTTAGTTTAGCTTAAAAGTATACCATTTAGAAATCAAATACATTTTAATCACTTTTGGGAGGGTCTTTAATGAATGTTTGATGAAGTTTAATTTGAACAGACCAAGGTTTTTAAACAGTCTTCTTTGCAATTCAGTTTCCTTTAAACAACTTAACATTATTTTTGCATTTAACATATATATTTTTCTTTTAAACAGTACTTCATATGCTTTACCCAACAAGTTCCCAAGTTTTTGACTCTTAAAAATACAATAAATTAAACAAATAGTGGCTTTCTAAGTTTTCTGAAATATTTACATACTATTGCAGGTTTAATATTTTAAAATATCTTTCAACTAAAAATCAAAGTTTTAAACACTTTTTTTTTTAATTTCTTTAGAGGGGAAGGGAAGGAGAGAGGGAGAGAAACATCAATGTTTGGTTGCCTTTTGTGTGTCCCCTGCTGGGAACTGGCCTGCAGGGGACTGGCCTGCAACCCAGACATGTGCCCTGACTGGGAATCGAACCGCGATCGTGTGGTTCGCAGGCCCGCACTCAATCCACTGAGCTATACCAGCCAGGGCTAAACACATTTTTAATGAGAATCTTAAGGCCAGTGTTACCTACTATAATATGCCATTTATGTTTAAATATGTCAAATAGCAAATGCTGCATAATTTGATATAATGAGTATAAAAACTATTCTTAAATGCAAAAAAGAATCATTTCCTAGGCTTTTTGAAAATTCATAATCATTACATATTTCATTTAAGAACTACAGCACTCAGTGTTTGGTAAGAAAACAAGTAGTCCAGGCCCCAGCAAGTGGACCAGTATACAATGCAGGGATGTTGAGGAACTCAAGTGTTGGACTTCAGTAGTGAATTAACTACTTTGATTTACTGTTAAATGAGAATAATACCACCTGGGGTAGTTATGAAAATCAAACAATGATAGATAGAAAACTTTTAACACATAGTACATAACCAATGTACTGTGTGTTAGATTAGATGTACTATAGATCAATGTACTATAGATCATGACAGCTATCATGATCTATATATTTAAAGCCTTAATATTTCTGTTGTAATTTTCTCTCACCTAAATAAAACACAGATGTAAGCTTTGTTAGAGCACAGACTGTATTTTATTTTTCATTTACATTCACAGTATGGTACAATACTAGCATAGTGTGTATAAGGATAGTCTTAGTAAATATATATTAAGTGAGTGAATACAATCCCTTTACATTGCAGATGGGCAGATGCACAGGTGGATTGTGACTATTTGAAGTGACACAAGTTGTTAGTGGAAGCAACACTGGGCTGTAGGTCTCTTGACTCCTAGCTTTTAGCAAATGGTCTGAGAAGTAGAAGTTGATAAAATAAAGAATAGTTTCAGTAAATAAACGTTAGCATAATTTGAATATGGCTGTGTCATTTTCTAGAAAATCAGTTTTATTATACCAAGTTTATGTAACAAAAATAGGACTGACAGTTTGACACAGAAAGCAAATTATAGAAAATAATTATTGAACTTATGTGGATTTTCATAAACGATTAAAAAAACCTTTTTCTTTTATACTATTTGCTTTTTTTTTTAATAGGGGCATTACTCTAGTGTGCCTTAATTGTGATTTCCTAGCTGATGTTTCTGGCTTAGATAATATGGCTACGCACTTGAGTCAGCATGAAACTCATACTTGCCAAGTTGTAGTAGAGAAAGGTACGTGTATATATAATTGTGTTACTTTGGTTTTTGATATTTATTTTAGTATTTTTAGTCAGTCACAATATGGGTTCTTTATGAAATCATTATTCTCATCATATTTCATATACTGTTTTAAATATAAAACTTTTTTTCTAATTTCAGTTTCTGTTTGTATCCCAACTTCTGCACATCTTTCTGAGTAAGTTTAATTTTTATTCAGTGTATTTTACTTTGATGGACTTTAGGACTATTGCATTTTGAAATGTATCATTAATAGAAATGAAAAAATATTAAAGTATTTTGTTTTGTTTTTTTTTAAAGCTGCTTGTTGAAATAGGTTCCTGCTCTATGGAGCTCGTGACCTGGTGCAAGACAAGTTGGAATTTCCTAAGTTCAAAGTTCTGAGATGTTTTCTTACACAAAGGCAGTTAAGCAGCCAAGTTCATGACACTAGCTTTCATTATTCAGCTTTTTTCAGCTTCAGATGGGACTAGATTCTTATTCCACCTTATCTTTGTGTCAGGTTGACATATCTTAACATATGTTGTTTTCTCCAGTTGGCTCTTTCCAAAATAACTTTTGTTGCTATAGTCATTTCTTACTTTGCTTAAAATAATTTGTTTTTCACTGCTCTACTTGCCTTTAGAATAATACATTCCAAATGATATGGCTGTTTGTCTTTTTTCTGTTTTGTCTGCTTTCTTAATTTCTTATAAGTGTTTAGGCCCAATGATTGTCTTTTTCTTCATTTGCTGTCTGTCATTGTGCTATTTTTCTTATTTTTCAGATGCAGAAGCAGCCCAGAGGTTTCAAAAAATGTCCAGGGTACACCTGGACAGTGTCCCCCTTCGATGGACACAAGTGATGCCTGTTCTCTCTTTCCAAGGAATGTGAATAATTTCACAGTGGGACCTGCTCTAGGTTGTGGTCTCAAGAAATCAGATCTTGGGGAGACTGCCATATGTCATGGCTGGCCTCCCATAAGGTTGATGCTAATTTAGCCAGAGATGGTCTGTCTCACAGCCCACCAAATTGAGCACAAATTTCCACTGGGGATTTTGGCTCTTGATCTTGGTCACTTCTGGCCAAGAAAAGCCCTTCAAATCAATGCTTCAACATCCAAGTTGAAATTTAGTCATTTTGGCTGCTGCCCTTTAATCTTCCCCTAGCATGAATGTAGTCCAAGGAATATAAAAGCTCTGGTTGTTAGAAAACCATGGTTATTTTCATGTCCTTGGAACAACAGGTCTCTACAATTATGTTCCAAAATTGCAGTTATTTTTACTGTCATTTAAAATATATTACACAATTCTAACTCTACAGTTTTTCAACAATACTGGTTTTGAGATTTTTTATTTTTAATAAATTAACTTTGATTATGTTCTCCAAGTTTACTGATTTTATGATGTCTGTTTTTATATTCTTTTCTATCCTTTAACACTGTTTAGTGTTTGCTTTGTTTTGTTAAGAATTCCAAGAGATTTCCTATAGTTCTCTACAGATTTTCTATAGTAACTTACCTAGAACTTTTTAATTTGGCTGTTGTTTAGACCATTAGACATTGTATCCTCTGTCTTACTTTGGGATTATTATTATTAACATTATCTTAATAATCATGAGTTCTAAGATGTAAAGGTTTACATCTTAAAGGTTCTAAGATGTAAAACCTCTTGCAGATCATAAAACAAGTTTTAAAGGTACATATTTGTCTGGTTAACACATAATACCTACTTAGTCATTAATGTAGTTCTTTTGGGTAAAGGTAACATTAAAAAAAATACGGGAGCCAGTAATGTATTTATTTATTTATATATATATGTTTTTCACATATACATAAATATTTTTTAAATTGACATTTAAAATTTTAGTTACATTGTAATTAAATCCACTAAACAGTTTTGAAGTTCTTTTTTCTTTTAAAATTGTATTGTTTAAATATCTCAGGAATTATTTATTAATAAATAATTTCATCTAAATTCTATAGATTTTATTATATAAACAGGTTATTGCTTTGTTTGGAGAAGCCTTATTATTTGACCTGCTGATTAACACCTATATCTACGTAGAGCATCTTCTATTTTTCCCTTCAGCATAATTGGGAGGTTGCTTTTTATACTATCCCAATTTCTTGAATTTTCAAGACAGGCAAAACACCTTTTGTAATCTTAGTTGCCATAAGGATAGACAGACTCTGAAAGTAATTGCTCAGTAGTGTTTTTTACTCTAAAAATAGAACTATTTTTCTTTGAAATAGATTCAAAGTCAATTTAGATGACTTTATGAAAGGTGTTCCTTGCAATTAATTACCAAGAAATTTTAATCTATTAGTTTTTTTTTTTTTACCAGATAGCCACTCTTGGTATACTTTCTTTCAGTATTTTCTACGAATAGTTTTACATAGTTTTAATATACAATTTTCTCTCTCTCTCTTTTTAACTTAACATTATAACGAGCATTTATTTTTAATAGTCAACAATTTGGTAATATCTTTTTTTTAAATCGTGTGTTATTACATATCCCAGTTGTAGACCAGTTAGCTTATTTTCTACTTTTCAAAATTATAAGTTATGCTGAAGTAAACATTCTTTTATGTGTGTCTTTGCTGGCTTACCTATTTTTATAGGAAAGAATCTTAGGAATAGAATAACTAATTCTAAAGGATCTACTCTTACTACATTCTTTGAGTTTTCATTTTAATTTCTAAAGCTGTTTGAATATAACTTCATAAAAGAGCTCTAGAAAAGCAAATTGCCTGGAAGAATTTCCAGTTTTGAAATGTTTGAGACCTAGACTGTTTTAACCTTTGGTTAAGCAAGCACAGAAATCTTTTTATTTTTCACTGTAATATTTTTGTTTTAATATTTTGTTGTTTATGCTAATACAGTTGTCCAACGTTTCCCCCCTTCATCCCTCCCTCCACCCAGCCTGCCCTCCACTTCCATAGCCAGTTCCCACACTGTTGTTCATGTCTGTGGGTCCTTCATATTATGTTTTTGTAAGAAACATTCACAGGTATTTGGGGAATAAAGGGCTATTTTGTCTGTAACTTACTCCCAAATGGCTCAAAAAATAATAGTGAATAGACACATATAGATATAAAGAAAGAATGATTAAATAAATGTGGGAAAATGTTAACAATTAGGAAACATGGGTGAAGGGGATATAGTTCTTAGTACTATTCTTGTAGCTTTTCTATATATCTGAAATTATTTTTTAAAAATTCTAAAAAGGAGATTAACCCATACATTTTAAACTTCCAAATTAATTTCTACTGTAAATTAATGATTTTCAAAAGCTCTGAAAGTAGCTTATAGGTAGATGGTGATATATTCTTCTTTTATTTCCTTATCTGTCTCTAGGAAAATTTTGTCATTCACCTTCTTTCCATGCAATTAAAAAAATATTTTAGAATTTTGCCCAGAAGCATCTTTACATTGTTAAAATAAGTTCCTTTTTTACTTATAGATATTTGTTTTACCTTGGTTATAGTTCAGAAATAGGATAAACTACATTCTTCACATAACAGTATAGGAGTACTGCTTTGTATTTTTCCATAGGACATTATTTGTATGATCAAGCTCATTGTCTTGTTTAGACTTAAAGTTCTGTCACCCATAACTTTTTTAAAAATTGGTTTAAATGAAACACTTAAGATGCTTAGTATAAAACTTGCTTATTTTAGACAGTTGGTGGAATTTTAATTTGGTGCTAATGAGTTTTAGCTTGAGTCTGATCTGATCAAGTTATTCTAAATAGTTTACTTACTTGATCAGAAATTGTTATTTTGTGCATATGTGCTTTTGGTTACCCCTGAATAAAAAGTGAGATTGGGTCAGTTTGAGTCCTTCACCATTCTTAGAAAAAAGTGACTCCTAAACCACAGAGACATGGATTCTTGCCCTATTTTGTCACATTTTGGTAAAACACCTCACCTCTTTGGGCCTCGCTTATTTATTCAGGATTATTTCTTGAGCATCTACTTTGTGCCTGGCTCTGTTGTAGGTGCTAGAGAAATGGACTAAACTCTCTGTCTTCATAGGAGTTATGTTTTACTGGAAAGGTAAATAATAAAAAGTAATTAAAAGTATAATGTATTCAGTGGTTGGCAATACTGTGGAGAAAAATGAAGTTAAGGAGGGGGGATAAAAATACAGATTGAGTGTTTGTATGCTGCTATTTAAAATTTGGTGGTCAGAGAAGGCCCTACTGACATGAGATTTGGGTAATGACCTGGAGGAGGAACTGCAAAGAGACTTGGTTTGGCTGCTGTTGATTGAACAAGAGGGAGACTAGTAGGAGATGGGGCCTGCAAAGTAATGTGGACCACATGGGATCTTATAGATCATTTTAAGGCATTTGGCTTTTAATATGAGATAAGAAACCATTAGAGCATTTTTAATAGAGGAGTGTTTTATACCTCAGTAAAACCCACAATCAACTATAAAACCTTAAATACAGAAAAGTGTTTATATTACTACTCTAGCTGCTGTGTTGAGAATTAACTGTAGAAGAACAAGGGCAGAATCAAGGAGATTACCTCATTTTTCAGACTATAAGACTCACTCCCCTGCCCAATTTAGAGGAAAATGGGGGTGCCTCTTATAGTCCGAACGTAGCTTACCTTGCTTGCTGGGGGGGCAGGGGTGGTGGCCTATATTATATATGTTATTAAATATTTTACCACATTTTTTGCTTCAAAAAATTTTCCCCAATTTTCCTCCTCTAAAATGTAGGTGCATCTTATGGTTCGGTGTGTTTTACAGTCTGAAAAATTCAGTAGTTAGGGACACTGTTAAATAATCCAGGTAGGAGATGGTGGGTTCTTAAGCTAAGCTGCTAGCACTGTGGACTATATGAGGTTTGATTTTAGACATATTTTGAATTTGTTGATGATTTGGATGTGAAGTGTGAGAGAAAATATTGAGAACGATTCCACAGTTATTGGTCTGAGCAGCTGGAAAGATGGCATTGATGTTAACCAAGATAGGAGAGACTTGGGAGGAGTAATTAGGGAGGGAAGATGAGGACTTTGATTTTGCAACAAGTTTTAGTTTGAGATACCTATTAAAAATCCAAGTGGAGATGTCATTGTCATTAACTCTATGAGTTTAGGGGAGTGTTCTGGGCTGTAAATATCATTTAAAATTTTTTAAAAATATATTTTATTAATTATGCCATTACAGTTGTTCTATTCCCCCC